TTAAAGTCGAGAATTGAATGACAGTCTAGTGATTAGGTTGTTGTCTTTCCTGGTAATAGACCAGGGTTCGATTCCCACCAGGGGTTGTAAGGGGGTTTTTATCCACATTTAAGTGGGGTCCACTGGGGGTGAATTTTTATTTTTTATTTTTATAAAAAGATAATTATTGAAGTCCGTCCTATGCATCGAAACAAACTACAAAGAGATAACTCATGGTTTCTACAAGCAATTGACAAAAAAAGCATGAAAATTAACATGGAGAGAATCTCAAATGAACTATATATTTAATTTTACTTCAATCAGAATAAAAATTTAATAAAAATCAACTTAAAACTAACATGAAACATAGCAGCAGCAGATCTCCGATGACAAGGCTCCACCACCACCGGCTGTCAATGCTCCACCACCACTGGCTGTGAGGAAAACAAACACCAGGAAGTCCAATTAGAGATGGGATCTTGAAGGCTTCGAGTTGTCAGCTGCGTTGAAATTTTCACCGGCAATTAGGAAATTGTTTTTCTATAACCCTAATACAAATCAGGATGGAATTCCAGCTCGCCGACAACCATCACGACCAACACCTCAGCCGAACGATCAACTTCGAATCCAAAGTCTGGATTTTGATTTGGATGCCATGGGAAGTCGTGGAACTGACTAGGTCAGGGCAGATGGGGAGGGCGATGACGGTGGTAATAATGATTGTAAAAATTCAGTTTAATTTTATAAGCTCTTTTAAAGCTTAAAACCCAAAACGACGTTTTTTGGAAGGCAAGGGTTTTTTCCAAAAACTTTACGGATTTTATGTCCAAAAGATGACGTTATCCAAAACGACGTCGTTTTGTAGGTTGGGGGTTTTTCCCCAAAATCCATTGGAATTTTTAAATTAAGATTTATGAAGTCCCGTTTATACCCCTAATAAGTCGCTGACGTCATATCAACCCCATCCGACGGGCGAGATCGCTTTGAAGGTGGCCCTGAATATTTCTTGGGCATTTAATTTCTTGCCTACTGTGCCTTTATATTAAGTATAAGGAAGAATTCATATTACTATTTGTAAATTGTTTTTTTTAGTATAATTCACAAATTTCAATAAAATTTCAATTCTTTTTTGTTTCATATAATTTCTTTTTGATATTATATATATGTGTACACCATTTAGTTTTAAAAATCTACATCTCCACTGCGATAAGATTCGACCCCTAAACCTTAATCACATCCATTTAAATTCTTACATGCTACAAAGTCACATACTAAGATGAATTACCACTCTTAACTGTATCAAATTTTGATAATTTATCATAATTCATGGATCGACTTTTTTTTTTTTGACATAGCTTACATTCATTGTTGACATCCCATAGGATTTATGGACTAGCTTTTAATTACATGATATGAAGTAATTTTATATCAATAATCGTAGTTTGTTAAGTGGATTAATTGAATTTATAGATAAATTTGGAAAACAGATTAGTCTTCAAACTCACTACAAAGTACAATCTGGAGGTAATGAAAATCATAGTCTCATAGATGAAGCTCCGTTTGAATAGTAATTGGTTTGGAAAAAAAAAGTGAAATTAATAATTGTTGAAGGTTAGATTCATTCTCCCCAATAAGTTGAAAAATAATTTAAGTGTCATTATAAGTTGTAAGTTTGTATTTTCTTACTTTTCCATCCCTTATGAAAACTTTTTCCGACTTAAAACTTCATAGAGCAAGAAAACGCTCTGCCCCTTCTCTAAAAAAGAGAGAAAACCTCCTCTCTTTGGAGAGGCACGACTTGAAAAGAAAAACAAAAATTCAAAGAATAGCACTGCCACAAAGGAAAACCCACAATCCCATAGGATTTACTTAGATCTACTTACTTAGATCTACCAAAACCAAAAACAGACTATCCTTAAACAACATTTAGCACACGGTTTTGTCAATGCTTGCATGCAAGGGAAAAGCCTTTCGCCACTTGGCTACCATGCAATTTTGAAGGTGGAAACCTTCCACTTTTTCCCATTAATTTATTACCACTCAGGAGTACAAAACACCATGAAAACCTTTTATAATCCCAAATTTTTTGATCTGAGTAATAGTTAAAGGAGGTCACCTTTTCAATTACCTTTTCAGCCTCTTTCTTGGAAAAGATCCGGTACTTTTACTCATAGAAGAAGGACGCTCCAGTTGGCTTTCACAACCTTCCAAATTCCTTCTCTAATGCAGCGGTGTATTTCTTTTCTTATATTTAGCCTCAGATCCGGTACTACGGCTCCTTGGATGGGACCAAAAAACAAATACAACCTGACATTCCTTTAAATTCCTCAAAAAAAAAAGCTATTTTCTTTGATATCTTGCTCCAAGTATTTGGCAGTTTGACCCCTTCTCTTGGAGGGGAGTGCATTAAATTGTTATTTTCTTGTCTTATTTAATAGATATGATCCTGTGAACGGTAGATCAGAATGAATCAATCACATGCACGTGAAAATTCGGCTTCCAGTGTATACACACCCCAGGGCACTGAGTTCTCTAAAGAGATGAGAAACTATCATCCACTTCAGGATGTACATCCAAGTATGATCCATAGACCACGCATGCGAGTGGCTGGCATGCAGATCTCCCTGGCGGCGGAAACAATCTCAGCGGAAGATCAACCCTTGTCACTGCTAGGATATCTGATTGATGACAGATACTTTAATGGTGAGCAGATGTAGAACTACATCAACAGGAATTGGGCCTTGTATGCAAGAGTACAGCACTATGACAGGAACTTCTTTGTCATACGTTTCCTCTGCAAGACCGATCTATTGGCAGTGTTAGATAATGGGCCATATGCAGTACATGGAGGTCTCTTAATCTTAAGGAGATGGTATGAAGATCATGAAATCGTTCTAGATTGAGTGAGAATCACGAAACTTTCAATGTGGGTCAGACTTCACAAAGCTCCACTCTTGAACTACAACTGGAGCGGAGCAAGGGAACTAGAGTCAATGTTGGGTGAGGTGGAGAAAGTCAAAGAGGATTCAACATCCTTGAAGAAGGCTTCTTACATCCGAGCCAAGATTTGGGTGGAACCAGCTAATCCACTGACCCCAGCTTTTTATGCGGTTTCAACCAGAGGTACACCTAATCTAATTGAATACAGATATGAAAAACTACATAAGTTTTGCAAGCATTGTGGTAGACTAGGCCATCCACACCACAAATGTCAAATAGTGTCAGATGTGGCTTTGGATGCCTTCCTCAAGACTATTTCAGGGTCCAAGCAGAACGAAACCATGCGCCTATGTACAGGAATGAACTCAGGGAGATGTTCCTGGAGATGATGCAAGCTGATATGCTTATATTTTACCTATTTATTATATCCCTAATTTGTGATTTTTGCAATATATTTTGAGTACAAATAAGCTATTTATGTGATTTTATCTTTAATTGTAGGAATTGTACTCAAATGACGAATTGTTGAAGTTTTGAGCTAAAATCGAATTAAAAGCAACTCAATAGGAAAGAATTGAAGATTGAAGCAATTGATAGGGAGGAAATTAATGAGTTTAGAGAATTGGAGGGCCAATGATGCAATTTTGGATTGGTTAATTAAGTTTTTGGAAAATTGGCCGAGAAGGTTATGGTTATGCGGCCGATTTGGGATTGGAATTGGATAAGAATTTTAATCCCGATATTAATTGGGAAACAAGTTTTCTTGTTCTTCAAGGAGTAGGGTTTAGCCGGAAGCCTATAAAAGGGAGATTAGAGATTTATTTTTACAACAGAACTGAACCGAAACTTGACCGAAAACCACCGAACCCTACACCTCCATCACCATCTTCTCCGCCTTCCTGGTCACGCCGCACCACCGAAGCAGCCGAGCCTCACCTTCCATAACCACCCGCTGCTCCTCCTTCACCGGCAGCAACACCTCCCTCGCACAGCACCACCGAACTCCCTCCTCCTTCACCGAGCTCACCATCAACCGCCATCATCACCACCAGAGCTCCTCTCGTCTTCCTGCTGCAGCTCGTCATCACCGAACGCACCCACCACCGAAGCTCCTTCCTCCATCATTAATCACTGGCGAGCCACGCAGCAGCGGTGAAGCGAGCAACCGGCGGGGAGTTTGGCGGGATTTTTGGCTTCATTCGGTTTTAAAGTTTAATTATTTAATTTATTTATTTTTATTATGTCTCTAAATATTATTGAATTAATTTTAATAATGTTTAGTGGCTAAATTCTTTTAATCTAGGGCTTGGGTGTAGCCACCGAATTTATTTGGTTTATTTTTATTTGATTTTTCCATTAATTAATATTTGTTATTCTTGTTTTAATTCGTGTAAGTAATTGGCCACTATTTGCATGTCTGAAGATATTAATCGAAGTAGCGAGAGTGGAAGATTAGTATTAGTTCATAGGAATAATAAACTTAGGTGATAAAGCTACGAGAGTAAGATTATAACCTTTGCAATATTTGATTCTTAATGGTCTTAATGTGCTTTTGTTAATTCCTATAGTCACGAGAGTAGTCATAGGGTTAATCTAAGTAAGAGAATTATAACACGAGAGTGTATAGTTCTTAATTAGGTGAATCGTTGTGAGATTAATGGAAGTTAAAAGTCAGATATTTGTGAATTGAACTAACCCAAATATTCGGTAGGTGAACCCAATGTCCTAGGTTTTCTTTGTCTGATTATTTGAATTAATATTATTTGCTTTTATTTATTTATTTATTTTAGGTTTAAATTTTATAAATCTGAGATCATCATTTATCTAGATAATAATAGGAGTAATTTATACCTGGTAATTAGTATTCCTTCTCTGTGGGATCGACCCTGCTTTCTGCTTTACTACTAGTAATTGTATTAAGTAGGTAATTAATATTTGACTAGTGTGACGACGGCTTGTCGCAAGCGGAAGGCCATAGAAACAGTAGATGTACTAGATTATCAACAGCCTTTCTCAACCACACTAGAAATTACTATGCACTGATAGAGGAAGAGAAAATAAGAGATGGTTTCCGTATCACTATGGATGGGGAGCAGGGCTTTCAACCAATGAATGTTGATGTGCCTCTAGGTGATGACGGGGACAATGATGATGGAGATGCAGGGAATGATGATGAAGGGGATGATGACTATCAGAATGAGAATCTGGACAATGGAGGACAGGAAGACATAGACATAGGTGAAGGAATAGCTGGAAATCAACATGATGGACCGCCGCCAGGAGAGCATGGAACTCCACATGAAAATGGTTTTCATAATGGATCAAGTCACTCATCACCACCAAGTACAAGAATTAGAGGTGATTCCCCCACTAATGTGTTGTCCTGTGATTTCAGTTACTCATCATCTACAAATGACATAGTAGTAGTAGATGAACCAGAGATGATTATGCATCACTCTCAAATAGGTCCCTCTAATGCTATACTTGGTGATTCTGATAGTCAAATAGGAGAGACTAGTTTGTATGGTCAGGAATTTATCGCTCAGGGACCATAATACTCTGCAAGTTGTAAGTTATGTAACTAGCTCAAGTGATAGTAGTTCAAGTGGAAATCATGGAGTTACGGACATTGAGGGAGTAGATATGACCCTAGAAAATCTAGCTACACATCTTAGCTTGGTAGAGGAGAAGGAAGATACCCTCCCTGAATGTTGGTGAGCATGGGGCTTTTTCTGCAATGCACAGCACACCAGACTTATGAATAGAGGGGAAGAAGAAGACGGAGATCAAAGTGTTGAACAAGTGAAGGAAACGGCAAGTCAGGAGAGGCTCACAGAAATTATAGATAACACTGAAGAAATGTTCCAACTGGAGGAACAAGCATCGCAATATTTCAGCAGACTCTATATGGCAGGAGAAAAGATCAACCAAGTGGAAGAAAATATCATACTCAAATGGCCATTGATGCTGGATCCAACTAAACAAACACACCAGGATGGGAAGCTTTTGCAGATGAAGGGAAAGGAAGATAGCCATAGCAGTGGACCAAGGACAGAGCTCAATCACATTCATACTCAAATGTTCAAAAGGAAGGGAAAGAGCTTTCAGGAAAAGAAATATGGCCGAATGCATTTGGCTCCATTGAAACAGACGCAGAAACATCTCAGCATTCATACACCACATGAGATGCACAGGACTTTAGACAGGCTTAGCAGATGGAAAAGAGCTCATGAGGCAGATTAGAAATCAGTGAATAAAAATGGGAACCAAGATCACAAGACTTAGAGACAGGATGGCAAAAGATTCAGGGAGGAAGATAAATCTGAAGCACAGTACCAGAAGCGCAGGATTCTAGAGGAGGAAGATGGAAAGCAGACTTCAATCATGATCTCTAACCTAAAAATTGCTTTTGGTGACCAGGTGACAGTTCAAGACCAGCTCCAAGGACTTGCAGTGGTTGATCCTAAACAATCGCCTCAAGAAGTGTGAGAATACTGAGCTGGAACTGCAGGGGCATGAATAATGCTCCTACTAAGCGAGTATTATGTAAATTATTAAGGCAGTACAATCCTAGCTTGTTCTTTTTTATGGAAACTAAAATAGTAACTAGTAATCTAGAAGTCTGGCAGCAAAGTACATGTTTTAAGCACTCCATAGTTGTAGAACCTGTAGGTTCCAGTGGAGGTTTAGCCTTATTTTGGGTAGATAGCTTGAATGTAACTTTGCTGCATAAAAATGCTAATGTAATAGTAGTTAAGGTAGTAGAAGCAAGGGGACTTGAGTGGGTGGCCATATTCCTGTATGGACTTCCTTCACATCAGGGAAGATCAGAATTTTGGGTTGATCTAAATAGTACTCTTTCCCCTTTGGCGTATCCTAGTCTTATTTTAGGTGATTCCAATCAGGTAGTAGATCAAGAAGACAAATATGGTGGAAGAGCAGTTAAAGATGGAGATACTACAGCCATAAAAAAATTCCTGGAAAAGCAAGAGTTGGAAGAATTAAAACATCTTGAATGTTGGTATACATGGACCAACAACAGGCAAGGAAACCAAGTGATATATGAGAGATTGGACAGAGCCTTTGTCAACGGAGACTGGCTAAATCATTTTAGCAAGGCCATGATCAGAAACTTACCAATCCTGAATTCTGATCATGGCCCAATTCTGGTGGATGTGAAAGAACAAAGCAAAGGATGAAAAAAGAGGAAAGCTTTTGAGCAATTTTGGATAAGATGCAACAAGTCACTGGAAATTGTGAGTCAAAACTGGCAACTTAAACCTCAGGAGGAACAATGTACACCATCCCAAATGTCAGCCAGATTAACCAGATGCTTGAACCAATTGCATAACTGGAGCAGAGATACTTACAAGAGTTTAGATATGTATGTGCAAAAACTCTTAGAGGAAGCAAATCTTCAACAGCAATACTGGGAAGCACACCGCAATGATGATCAAGCTAATCAAAAACTCATACAAATCAAACAAGCAGTGGAAGAAGCACTTAAAATGCAAGAAGATTATTGGAGTCAAAGAGCAAAACTGATTTGGCCAATCCAGGGGGATAAAAACACTAAGTTCTTTCAAAAATGGGCGTCCAGAAAAAAAGGCAATAAGTGGATCACTGAATTGATGGATGAACATGGTAACTGGGTACAGGATACAACACAAGTAAGAGAACTAATCAATAATCACTTCTCAGATGTCTATATCTCCCCAGCAGAAGCCTTTGTCCCAAACAGGAATGACATGTCAGTGCAAGAATTACTAGGAAAAATGGAGGAAACACTCTCAGTGGAGCAGCAAAAATTCCTGGCAACACCTTTCACTGAAGCTGAAGTACTAGAAGCAGTTAAGGAGATGGCACCATGGAAATCCCCAGGTCCAGATGGCATGCCACCGGGGTTTTATCAAAATTATTGGAAAGAAATCAAAACTGAAGTAGTGCAGGCCATTTTGGACATCACAAGACTTGCTGAATTACCACAAGAATGGAATCAGACTATTCTAGTCTTGATACCCAAGAAAACAAACCCTTTGCCACCAGGTGACTTTCGTCCAATTAGCCTCTGTAACGTGAAATACAAAATCATCACCAAGATGATTACAAGAAGGCTTAAATCAATCATGAATGATCTAATTGATGATCATCAGAATGGGTTTGTACCCGGGTGAAACATCAGTGAAAACATTTTGATAGCACATGAGATTGTGGAATTCATCAAAAATAAAAAAGGAAAAAATGGAGTTGCAGCAGTGAAGGTGGATATGAGCAAGGCGTATGATCGGGTTTCATGGAGTTTCCTCAAACAGGTATTGACACAGCTAAAGTTTCCAGAGCATTTGGTAACTTTAATCATCCAGTGTGTCACTTCAGTTTCATACTCGATCTTGTTCAAAAGAGAGCAATCATCTTTTTTTTCACCAAATAGAGGGCTAAGACAAGGCTGTCCATTATCTCCATATCTCTTCATCCTTTGTCAACAAGCTCTCTCTTCGGCAATAAGATCAGAAATTTGAAGATTGCCGGGTCTAGGGATAAAAATCAGCAACCATGCTCCACGAATGAGTCATCTCATGATGCCGATGATAGTCTGTTCTTTTTAGAATGCAAGGAATCATCCTCCACAACTTTGGCTTATCTCATCAACCACTATGCTAGGCTGTCAGGGCAGAAGGTGAATCATTTAAAGTCTTCAATTCTCTTTAGTGCAAATACCCCACAACATCAAAAAGAAGTTCTTCATCAGATGTTGGACATCACTTCCAAAAATTTCCAGAGTAAATATCTTGGAATGAGTTTGGACTTTGAGGAAGAAAAGAAAACCATCTTTGGACAATTCACTACCAAACTGAGCAGCAAACTGGGAGATTGGAAAACAAAAATGCTAACACTAGCAGGAAGAGTGACTTTTAGCTAAATCAACACTATCTTCCATGTTGGTCTATCCTATGGGAGTTTTTAAACTCCCAAAAGGCACCTTACAGAAAGCCAACCAAATTATTGGGAGATTCATCTGGAATGGAGACAAGGACAGCAAAGGCATACATTGGCGAGCTTGGGGTAAAATTTGCAAGTCACCATTGCATGGAGGACTGGGGCTCAAGTCCACGGAAGAATTTAATCAAGCGTTACTAGCAAAGAATGCATGGAAAATCATATCAGCACCCAATTCCTTGCTTTCTCATTTTTTCAGAGGTAAGTATAATAAAGGAAAGGCTTTTATGCTACCAGAACGCATGTCCAACCTCTCCTGGGGCTACAAGAGCATATTATGGGGCTTCGAACTGCTGGAGGGAAACATCAAATGGAAAGTACTATCAGGACAAAACATCAAGATTAGTGAAAATTGGATCCCTCAAAAGGACAATCCAATTGCCAGAGACTCAATTCTGGCAACAAACACAGATCTGAGAGTTTCCCATCTGATTGACTCAACAGGGCAATGGAAACTGCCGTTGTTAAGAAAGATCTTCCCCTCAAATATTATTCCTTATATACAGGGTATCCATGTTGATCCTAACATGAGAAGTCAGGATGATAGATTGATTTGGAGAAGAACCGAACATGGAAACTACGCAGTCAAATCAGGCTACAAAGTAGCATACAACAAGGAATATCCTCTGGATATAGAGAGAATGGATCATGAGAAGAAAGCTTGGAAGAGACCATGGAAGAGTAATGTGCCACCAAAAATGAAGCTGTTTATCTGGAGAGGCATACATGATGCACTGCCAACAAAAGCGGCCCTGAGGAAAAGAGGTATCCTTGAGGATACATTTTGTCCGCGATGTCAACAATCAGCAGAAGACAATTCACATTTATTTCTGAATTGTGATTCATCCACGAGACTCTGGAGGATTTCCAACTTCGACTTCAACTTTGACGTTGGACATCCTATGAGCTTCAAGGACTGGTTCTTCAATGGCTAAAGGAAGCGCCAACTGATGACTCAATCACACTATCCATCTTCACCTTATGGCAAATATGGATCAACAGAAACAACCATATGGTGAAATCAACAATGTGAGTTGTCACAAACATGGAATCAAATCAAACAGGATTTTAGTATACATCAGGCAATATGCAGAAAAGAAAAGGAAAAGCTTAACCGGATGATACAAGCAAATGATATTGAAGATATGGATGATCCTGAGGCTGACACAAATCAAGATATCATTACTCTAGATGGATCATATCAACCAACAACCAAAGTGGCGGCGGGAGCATGGAAGATTACCACCAAACAAGGAGCTGTCATGCAAATCAAAACAATGAAAATGCCAGTCCTCTCCCCTCTACAGGCAGAAATGACAACTATGATGATGGCACTCCAGGAAGCATACAATCTGAATATACAACATATCGGGATTCAAACGGATTGTGAGTTCTTAACTAACCAATTGTCTCCTAATACCTCACCAGTAGAGGTCCAGGGCCTGGTCGCCCAAATTAACAGTGTTCTTAGAGGCTTTACTATGTACAAAATAGTTAAAGTTCCTCGGGAAAGCGTAAGTGGGATGCATAATATAGCTTATAATTTAGTCAAATGTAATAGCATAGGTTTTCATAATATATAATATCGTGTGTTTGTCAAAAAAAAAAGAAAAACTTGTCCATCCAGTTACAGTTAGTTTTCTAACGGTCAATGCTTTAACCTTTGACTTGTGAGAAGGGCAATTTCGTCTTTGTGCTTAATTTTGTAATTTTAAAATTTTAACTTTTTCCATCTTTTTTTCTTTTTTGAAAATGAATTTTTCCATCTAAAATCTCTTATAAATTACACAATATTTTATTTTTAATTTATTGTTTTGGAGTAGTTAGTTTTTAAAAATACAAATTTCCAGTTTTTTTTTGCTGGCGCCTGTATATAGAAAATAAAAGTTTCTTTTCATTTTCTACTTTAAGACAATTAGAAAAATTTAAGAAAGTTAACAATGAAAGAATTGGAGAAGAGAAATGGCGGTGGTGAAATTTGGGGAAGAAAAAGGAGCGGGGCTAAGGTTTTGTTTTTGGATTTTAGAGTTTTGAAGATAACGTCGGTAGTAGCGGCGGAGGGTGGTGGCTGTGCTTTGGAGAAGTATTTAGCCACCACCCGCCGCCGCTACTACTGACGTTATCTTCAAAACTCTAAAATCCAAAAACAAAACCTTAGCCCCGCTCCTTTTTCTTCCCCAGATTTCACCACCGCCATTTCTCTTCTCCGATTCCATCGCCTTTATCTTTCTCAACACCAAACCTTCTCTCACCTCTAACACATCAACTGCGACATAACAGAAACCCATGGCCATGGCAACAATGACATCTGGAGATAACCCTATGTTAGTGGCCAAAGGTGAGAAAAGAATCCTGGATCTAGTATCGATCTATAATTATTCATGTTTTGGATAAAATAATGAGAAAAAGTTACTTTATGTACCCTAAGAATAGAGTCTCCAAAATGTACCCTAAGAATTGGTCTTACCAAATCACGTACCTATGTTTGAAATTTGTTATTTTAGGTACCTTTTATAGGGCAAAATGGGAAACTATCAAATTTTGTCCTAAACTATATTTTGTCCTAAACTATCACGTTTTTGCCCCCAAACTTTTGGAAAAAAGCAAATTGCACCATAAATTTTTTTAATTTTACCAAAATTCATCTTTCAGTCAGATTTCAACAAATTGCGCCTAGATTTTGGGTGAAAATTTCCCATGACTTCCAGTGTTGATCAGTTTGACATACATATTTGTTTTATTTTTACGAGTTTTTCTTTATTATAAGTTTAATTTATATTTTTATTTGTCATTTTGCATTTTTGAAAAATACTTTTTATTCTTTAATTTTTTGTACTTTTTTAAAAAATTCTTTGCACTTTGATGCAATTCTAGTAACACATAATTTTTTTTTTTAATTTTACGCAATTTTCAGAATTTATTTTAGGCGAATTAAAACAAAATCTAAAAAGAATATTGTTTGAGTCAAAATTATATTTTGTAGTGGAAACCGATTCGGCTCAAACTAATTTCAAACAACTGCATGATATTCTCAAAGTGCGTAAACCCAACGCTAAAATTGTCCTAAACAGGATGATGCCTTTGAATTGATACTCAACCGAATAATGAGAAATTCTAAGAAATGGATAAAACGGCTTGCAAGAGCCTGTTTTATTGATTGAATGAAAACGAATCGGCTTTGAATAGCCTGAATCGCCGAAATGATTACAACGTTTAAAGCTGAAACATAAACTGAAACATAAACGAATACATAAAAGCTTAAAATTGCAAAGAACAAAGCTATAAAGAAAAATATGATTTCTGATTCTTGGATAATAAGTTGTGACCTTCCCGGTGCCTCCTTCATAGCTTTTATACTGATTCAGCCAACCCTACCTAGGTTGCAACAGAAGTCGAATTCCGCAAGGATTCCTGTTGCAACTGGAATCCTTCTTCGACATGGACTACGGCGTCATTGACTCCTTTTCAGGTTTGGCTTTCTCGCTCTCTGTTGCATCCACGAATTTTAACCAAGGCGGGCTTCGAACTGATTTTTCCTCCATTAAAGTGCTGTGATCGGCCCATTCTCATGTGGACCAGATTTGTCAAAAATCGGTCCAACATAAAGCCCCCGACGGAAGCAAAATTTGCATACTGGAGCCCAAAATTTGCTTCCCTTAATATCAACTCTTCAGCCCAAATAATGGGACGATCTAGATAACCTTCCCAAGAAGAAAAAAAAAACGATCGGCCCAATAGCCCCCTCCCCCCAGCAAAAGCGCGTGTGAAAGACGCAGATTTGTTTAAACGGCTCCCCAATTGCACGCTTTCCGAGCGTTGATTGGAATTTCAAACAGGATAATGGTGGAGAGAGAAAGCAACAATAGCAGCAGCCTCCAACAGTTTTTTTTTTGTGTCTTGTTACGCCACAACGGAAACTAAATCTTCTCTGATTCCAAATCCCCTTCAATTCTGAAGCTGTTGCGCTGCATTCTTTAAAACTGAAAAGATCCAAAATCGAAACCACAAACAATCAATTGATTCTACAACCTCAAAAGTGCAGCTGCGCACCAAAATATGCAAAATCCCTCTTTCAATTCGAAGCAAACCCTTATTGTTTTTATGATCAACACAAAAAGATGGCCAGAGCTGGCATAGTAAACCCAATGGCGTTCAATAGAGTCAAAGCTGCAACCCACGGTGTGAAGACCGGAGATGTGGATTCTTTGCAACCGGCTGAAGAATGAGTGATTGTCCCATTCAATTCTGGTGCATGCCAGTTAACGCTTGGGGCAAACTTCCCATCTGTGCCGAAAAACCTGAAAGAATACATTCCGTTGCTGAACCCGGAATTGAATTACCACAAGTATGAAAATCCCTGCAAGTTCGAGAATTGGGAACGGCTGCGTGTTTGGCCGTAGTCAGACAAACCAGAAATCCAGAAGGCCTTCGTCCAATGGTACCACCAATTGGAGCCGGAATATGCCGAGCCGATACTTAGAGGATGGCTGGGATCTATGACTTGTTGAAGTTCTGCACCATAGGGCTTGGCAAAAGCAGAGACCTGGTGGAAGCTGTACAAGGGTTTTGGAGTGGGAGCAGTAATGTGTTCTGCTTTCTATGGGGCCCTATGACACCAACGTTGCTGGACGTATGCGTCATCACTAGTCTGCCTGCTGTTGCAGATGTTGCCGTAGATGGCAATGTGACTAATGATGATGCAATTGCAGCAGTGGCAGGGCAACCTAGAAGCTATGGACCTTTCATCAATGAGAACAAAGGGCACACAAGTCGGTTACATCATATCCGATTTCTTGCTATGTGGTTGAACATGTATGTGTTTCCTGGAAAATTGTTTCAAATGACTATGGATTGGTATCATGTTACTGGTAGGTTAGCATCTGGAGTCCAAATTAACTTGGCAGAAGCTATACTTGCTATGTTGTATCATTGTTTGCATGAAGCCAGGCATAATCCTGTTGCTACATTCTGTGGCCCTGTATGGTTGTTGCATTTTTGGTATCTATCCTGTGGAGAGTGGAGAAACTTTGTGTCTTAGTGTGCATCAATATAGTGTACCAAACTATGATGCAACACAGGTCTTCAAGACTGTTTTTGAATCGAACCCCAACATTGAGGCGAGTGTACTCAGCCATGACTGGTGGCATAAAAGCTTTGAGGAAGGTTGTCATGCTGAAGCAGAGAGCGGAAAATGGGACAATAATGGTAAGTTTGGGTTGGCATATGTATGGAGCTATCTGCTATCAGCAAGGGATATATTTTATGACTGTAAGAGCGCACAATCCCGGAACATAGTAGCGGACATGCACGCTGAATGTTATCCGGCGAATATGGTGGCTCGGCAATTTGGGTTTGCCCAAAGCGTGCCGCACTTTGATGTATCTTGCTGGAATACAAGGAGACTTGGTAGAGAAAAGCTCACGATGGCTCAATATACCACGCATTGGAAGTTGATGGATCTGAGGGGGAGATCAGCAACAACAATACCTTTCAATTTATGTTTCAATGCAACTCCTGGGTTTGCAGAATCCCGGAACATAGTAGCGGACATGCACGCCGAATGTTATCCGGCAAATATGGTGGCTCGGCAATTTGGGTTTGCCCAAAGCGTGCCGCACTTTGATGTATCTTGCTAGAATACAGGGAGACCTGGTAGGGAAAAGCTCACGATGGCTCAATATACCACGCATTGGAAGTTGATGGATCTGAGGGGTAGATCAGCAGCAACAATACCTTTCAATTTTTGTTTCAATGCAACACCTGGGTTTACAGACTGGCGGTATGAACTGTCAATTGGTATGTACGGTTCTGGGTATGAGGCAATCAAAACCTCCTTTGGCATTGGCAAGTTTGCAAAGAACAAAGCAGTTGGTGGTGTTGCAGAAGCAAAGAAGAAAGGTAAAACAACTATTGCCCAAATTGGCACTGTAAATAAATCTCTTTGTGTCACTCCTATGTCTGAATGTTATATTTGCAGGAAAAGGAAAAAGTGGTGCTGCAGCAAAGACTGGTGGTCAATCAAGCAAAAAGAGCACTGCAACCGCTGCTGTCAAGGCAAAAACAAGTGTCGGGAAGAATGCTCCAACCTCCACCCGTCGATCCAAGAGGTTGATTGGGAGGAAGCGGTCTGCTAGTGAAGTCAGCAATAAGGTAACAATAATATTATCAGCATGATGATACCTTAACAAACAGAATGCTAACAATTATTTTCCGCCTTTTGCCATGTTTGAACAGGAGAATCCCGTATCCGTGTCTGAGAGTGAAGAGGAAGAAGCAGAGAGCCCAGGCAGCGAGAAAGGTTCTATTACAGTAGCTGAAGATCATACTGCGCAGAAAACAGTTCTCGAGACTAGCGGCGCCAGAAGCAAAAAGATAATGAAAACGGCCAGTTCGAGCACTCCAACCGCTTCTAGGAAGAAAGCTCTTCCATCCTTAGAGTCACTCAAAGCTAAAATGGAACAAACAAAAGCGGCAGCTTATGTGAAAACAGAAGAAACGTCTCGTGCCCATGAAATGCCTCTAGGAGTTGCTTTGCAACAAATCACAGAGATGTTCCAATTGCCTGCTGAAGAAGTATACAGCGAAAGGTACGATCAGTTGAGCCAATTGCTGACCATTATCTAGAATTCCATCACCGAAGGGCATATGGCTGCAGCAATATGTTTAGTGTCTTCAGAAGCGGCCCAAAAGCAGATTGAATGCCGAGTTTGTGTTCCCCATATTGTGGAATATCAGACTGCTTATGGCCTGCAGGAGAAGAACAAATTGCTATCTGAACAACTAATTGAACAGGCAGGGCAACTGGAGACCAACATCAAAGAAGCTATTGCTGCCGAAACAAAGGCAAAGGAAGAACTGGAGAAGGCACAAGCCAAACGCAAACAACTGGAGGCAGAGCTAAGTGGTGTTGTTGCGGACACTGATGTGGCAATTGATGGATATGGGCGAATGACCACCGTTGTGAACCAGCTTCTTCCGAAGTTCCAGGATGCTGAAAAAATTGTAGAAGGTGCGCAAACCAGCTGGAACTTTCTGAAGAATACCATCACCAAGCTAACGCAGGAAGTAGGAACAGGTCCTAACTCTCCAATGCCCGTGAGTCAAACCCCTCGAAGTCATTCTGAAGGCGGTGCAACAGCAGAGGAAAGACAAACAACTTCAGAAATGCCACAAGATGTGCCACCACATGAAGAAGAGGCCCTTGATGTGGCACCGTTAGCTAGCAGGCCTGCAACCTCTCCAGCAGAGATATGATATTGCTTGGGAATTGATACCTTGTTGAACCCTACTTTATATTTTGTTTTTTGGTTTAGCCTCCTGGTGTTGTGGTGATCTGTGACCTGCACAAAACAATTTTTTATTTTGGTTTTTTTGTTAGTAGTAAATAATGTCCTTGCTTCTCACTTATTGATATCTTTTGGCTGCAATATCTCTTGCTAACTGTTGTTCTTCAGTGCTGAGTTGATGCCAAGCGGCAAGCGGTATCAAAGTACTTGCACGAATATGATGCATTGATGGATTTATTTGCAATTGCTCCGTCAAGATCTTTCAAAACATAGACACCCTAGCCTAAATGTTGATGAATTATATAAGGGCCCTCCCAGGTGGGCCTCCATTTACCATAAACACGATCCTTGTGCCCTAAAGGTAAGATTTCTTTCTACACCATTGCGCCGATACTGAAACGCTTATATCTGACAAACTTGTTGTAAGCCCGGATGATCCCTGTTTTCTGGTGAATTATATTCGCCGCTGCTATGTTGCGGCAATGGGCCAACTTGTCATGATCAATTAGCAGCTGTTGCATAGTGGTGGAATCCAAAGGAGACTGTTGCTCAATTCGAAAGGAAGGGACTATTGTTTCAACAGGCAACACGGCATCATGCCCATAGACCAACTCATATGGGGTTGCCTTTGTACCGCTTCTTTGTGTTACCCGATAAGCCCATAAAGCTTGACGCAGCACTTCATGCCATTGCCGCGGATTATCGGAAATCGTTTTCTGTATGATTCCTTTCAAGATTTTGTTTGTTGATTTGGACTGACCATTACCTTGAGCAAAATAAGGAGAAGAATGAGTTAGGGTAAAACCCATATATTTTGCAAATTGCATCATATCTTGACCGGTAAAGTACTGGGCTTGATCTGTGATGATTGTTTCCGGCAAACCAAACCTGTAGATGATATATTCTTTGATGAAACTAATAACGGCCTTCTGATCTACATCCTTTAAAGGAATTGCCTCCACCCACTTAGTAAAATAATCTGTTGCAACTAGAACATATCGATGTCTAGCAGAAGAAGGAGGATGAATCATGCCAATAACATCAAGGGCCCAACACCGGAATGGCCATGGTTTGACTATAAACTGCATTGGTTCCGGGTGTGTATGTGGAACATCAGCATGTTTTTGGCAATCTACACACCCTCTGGCAAAATTTATACCCGTGGCGGTGAAGTAGCCATGCCATCTTCTTGCCTCCTTGGTGGGCACCACAGAAACCCTTATGTGTTTCTAACATCAACACCATGGACTTTGGTTTTCCCAAACATCAAAGGAATACTTCATCAGCTGTTTTACGATACAACTGCCCTTGCAACAACACGTAGTTGGGTGCCTGTCTCCGGATAGATAGCGGTGTGTGGTGTATTAGGTCTTGTAAAAACCTGATAATTAGCGTTCGCCAATTCTCTACTGCAGTAACTGTTGGAACAGGAAATTCTGCACTCAATGAATATCTCACATAGGCAAGAGTATCGAAATCAGCCGTGTCGTAAGCAATGTCTGGTCCCAATGGCACTTTAAGATACTCGGACGCTAACTGTGCCAGATTGTTTGCTTCTGCATTGAATTCTCTTTCAACGTTATAAAACTCAATATGTTGGAATCGGGCAGCTAACATATCTCCAACTGCTGCATATTTGGCCATGACTTCATCACTTTGTTCAATTAATTTCTTCATTTGGCCAACGACTAAGGCAGAATCTCCGATGACCTTTGCATGAGTTGCACCATTATATAGAAGCATCTCAAGTGCATAAATTAATCCTTCATACTCAGCTTGATTATGTGTAGCTTTGAAACTTAACCGAACTTGACATCGCAGTTTTGGTCTAAACGGAGGTGTAAGCACTATTCCTGCACCACTACGTTGAAAAGTTCTTGAGCCATCGAAATGTACTATCCACATAGGAGTTTCTAGTTGGTGCACTTGAAAAGTACTAAGGAACTCGTCATCCCAATCATCATCAAGTGAAGGGTGTGCGGCCAGGAAATCTTCTAACGCTTGCCCTTTCATTGCTAATTGCGGTACATGTTGAAATTGATATTCCATCAAAGCCAGGACCCATTTTCCAATCCGGCCACTCATCATTGGTCGATGCAACATATAACGACAAGATTGATTTTACTAATAACACAGACTAGTCTCAGGAACATATAATGCCGCAACTTAGTCGTAGCGAAATATAACACTAAACAAAGCTTTTCAATCGGTGGATACCTGCGTTCAGTGTCTATAAGCATTCTGCTGAGGTAGTATATAGCTCTTTTGAATCCGTCATGACCATCTTGTGCTAACAAACAACTCAACGACTCTTCTGTTGCTGACAAATATAGCTTTAAAGGTTTATCCGATGTTGGTGGAACCATTACTGGAGGAGTTGATAAAGCATGTTTAATATCTTGAAAAGCTAGCTATTGTGCGTCACCCCACACAAAATCTGTTGCAGACTGGACTTTCAAAAGTGGAGAGAAAGGTTTCAGCTTCTTCGACAGGTTCGAAATAAATCGGCGAAGGAAATTAACTTTGCCGATTAAGCTCTGTAACTCTTTCTTTGTCTTTGGGGACCTAACTTCAATGATTGCTTTAGCCTTTTCTGCATCAATTCCAATACCCCTAGAGTGTATTAAGAATCCCAAGAACACACCTGAGGAAACAGCGAATGCGCACTTCAATGGGTTCAACTTCAGTTTATACTTCCTCATACGCTCAAAACACTGACGCAGATGTTGTAAGTGATTCCCAAAGGAATGTGATTTCATCACTACATCATCATGTATACCTCCAGAACCTTTCCGATGAGATCATGAAAGATGAAGTTCATTGCCATTTGGTACGTTGCTCCGGCATTCTTTAATCCAAATAGCATAACCTTCCATTGAAAAATACCTAAGGAACCTGGCGCACAAAAAGCAGTCTTATGAATATCTATAGGAGCTATGAAAATTTGGTTATATCCAGTCTTGTCGTCAACAAAACTCATGACTTGAAAACCCATCAACCTGTCAATCAATGTTTCCGCATTCGGCATTTGATACTCATTCTTGGGAGATGCTAGATTAAGGTTATGGAAGTCCGTGCAAACCCTAGTTTTGCCATTTTTCTTGATAACAGGGACCACATTAGATAACCATTCAACATATACTGCAACTTCAATAAAGTCAACCGCCAATAAACGTTCAATCTCTTCTTTCACCTTGTTGACCACATCTTCTGAAAACCTCCTTGGCGGTTGTTTGAATGGCTTGAAACCCTTTTTCAAAGGGATACTGTGTTCTACCAAACTTCGATCTAAACCCGGCATTTCCGTATAGTCCCAAGCGAAACAATCACGGTACTGCTTCAAAAGATCAACTAGTGACTTCTTGTCATCGGTGGATAAGGAAGAACTGATATAAGCGGGCTTCTCCTTGCCAGATGATCCTAAATTTACTGCTTCGATTGGTTCTTTGGTAACAACCGCCTCGTCACTTAACTTTGGGGTTGCAGTAGCCAATTCATTCAAATCAATGATGTCACTATCTGAAACTGGATCTACATCATAAATTAATTTATCCTAACATACTGTAGGCATTTCAATTTGATGTTGATGCTTATTTTCAAAATACTACAACGCTTGATGGCGGCTTGCTTTTCCTTTGCCTGCAGTAATTCTTGATCTAACTCCATCGTATCCATAACGCTTAACTATTCAATTGTCTTCATTAGATACTTCTTCAATAGACGGAGCAGCTAGCAACGGCCTTAACACGTTGTAATTGTATGGCCTGTTGACTTCTTGTAAAAGCAATTTCCACTCTGGAAGACTCATATCACGACGCATAGTGGCCTGTTGTGGCCGACCATACTTATCCATCCCAATAAGACGGTATGGACCTACTTCATTGTTGTAATAATAAGCCTCTACAGCATTAGCTTGAGTTGCAAATGGACTTGCATCGGTAGCTATGATTTCTGGTCCATCTGTTCCCCATATAATAATCGCTTGATGTAATGAAGAGGAATACATCTTGCTGAATGGATCCAGTCGCGCCCTAAAAGAGCATTGTAAGACGCTTTAGTGTCAACTACAAAGAATGCCGATACCACCACTTGTGATTCTACCTCCACTTGCAATGGTAAGACTCTTTTAGCCGTTGTTACGTCTCCTATAAATCCGCTGACAAAAACTTCAGTTGGCACTAAATCCTTGAGTTGCTTGCATAATCTCTGTAAAGCTCTTGTAGGCAAGATATTAATTGTTACACCATTGTCCACTAGCACTCGTCTCAATGGTACTCCATCCATGATGGCGCAAATATATAATGGCTGAATGTGAGTCCCAGAGCTCTCAGCTGGCTGAGAGAGCATTATGACCGGGCCTTTCCTTTCTTGAGATAGTAGTTGAATACCACCAACTGTAGCATCATGTAGTTCTGTTACGAATGATGTCGCTTCAGGAACAACCTGTGTCTGCAACAGCTTTGGGGATGATAGTTGTTGCAGTTGCAGGTTCTTTCAAACAAAAAGTTTTCAGTAACATATAAACCATGTTTATTGGTGGGAAGAACATATCCTTTGGTGGGAAGAACATATCCCCTTTTCCCCACAATTGTGACCGTCTATCTTCCTGCCCTGAAAACTTATTCATTGATGTTCACTGGGAAAATGGGGATTGTTTCTCTTGAACTGTGCCTAATTTTCCTGTTGCATCCCTATTTTGTTTATTCATAACCCTCTACCATCGTCGTTTCTGCGTCCTGGTCATCTTTCCTTTCCTTAATGGCGGAGTAGGGAACTTGGGATGAACAACGCGATGCCATTCTCTATCATTCACGGGTGCTGCTCTGACTGACTTGGGCTCGATATTGTCCCTTTGGCTGGGACGCTGAATCCATTGCCACACTGATGGTCTTCTATTATGAACTTTATATGGCGAGTTAGCCCTAGGGCTGACAATGGTATTCCCCAATCTTCTATGGACGGGCACTCGTTGTTGCGTCGGAAGAACTTCTGTATGCAAACCTTGATGTTGTAAACTATGTTGCTGATTTTGGTTCAAAGCATTCAAGATTGCATCTGACACAGCTCTTAGTTTCTCTTGCTCCGGATCTAAACGTGTTTCCTTTTGTACCACGTCTGCATCTGTCCATTTATCACTATATTCACTTCTGTTGCAGATGGATGTGCATTCTGTCGATGCAAATGGCCTCCGAACTTAGATCCTAGCTCTTGCAGCTGTTGCTTGACCTTATTATATACTTTGTCACAATCTTCACAACCAGTGACCAGACATGTGTCAGAGGAATGACTTCAAAATCCTACATTCACCATTCGGACCTGGTGCTATGGCGGGAAAGGATTGACATTTATTTCAACTGGATCTTCTACTACCACATTGCCATCATCGATCATCTTTTGAAGTTTATTCCGAAACACCAAAAAATCGTTTATGGTGTGAGTCCATGACATGTGGTATTTACAATACGTCTTTCCAACTAGATCTGCTGGCTTTGGTTGTCTATGTCCCCATCTGTACTGAATATGGCCTTTCTGGAACATGTCATCAAAGATGGCCTCTTGTTGCGATATGCCGAAAGAATATACTCAGCTTGCCCTGGGGTGCCTGCCGGTGCACCTACCAGTGGGGAGTATTATAAGAATGTGGAACTGTAGGGCGACGTAATGCGTCACACGTGTAGTTACGGACGTTGACAATTTCAGCAGCATTAACCTTAAATTCATCGTCGTCTTCCTGATGAACTCATTGAATTTGATTCACTTCTGCTGCTGGAGCTTTGTTGAACCATTGCTTCGTCTTTCCTGGGTTCTTCTCCCTTTTATCTTTAATGACTTTCTCACATCTTCTTACAATATCTGCCAAATGATTCAATGATCGAACAGAATGTGGTGCGACAGCTAAGTTGACTTTGTAATCTGAATTCCGGCAATTGCCATCTTGACAATAGTTGGCACATCATACTTATCTGGGATCTTAGCATACATTTGACGAAAGCGTATCAAATAGGCTTCCGCAGCTTCTCCAAGCTTCTGTCGAATTTTTGAGAGATCAACGATTGACAATCGTGTGGTATCCCTACGGAAGTAGGACAAGAACTCTCACTACTGCGTTTCCCATGACGGAATAGAACCTGGTGCAACAGCAACCACAACACCAGAGCCTTGAGGTATGTGTGGATCATCCAAATTTGCAGCTACAGTATTATTTCCTGGCACTCGGTTCTGATATAATATAAAGTGGCGGTCATTGGTCGCTTGTACGTGTTGACCAGCCTGCCTTGCATTCTCACCAATAGCACCTTGATTATTTCCCGTACCAACAGGGCCTTGATTAATTGTTACACCCGCAGTTCCTTGGACACCTACATCTGTTGTTCCCTGTGGTATGTATGTTAGTCTAGGCACACCTTCTTGTCCACTCAGTTGCGATAGAACCACTACTGATCCTTGTTGATGTTGCATTGGTAAAACTTGCTGTGGAAATGCAGCATTTTGCAACTGGAACTGATTCGTCTCTTGCGCATTCCTTGCAACAGTATTATTTGTTGCATTTCCCACCTGTTGCATTCCCAGATTCACTGGCCACGGGGCCTGGAATCCTTGATAGGGTGATTGTTGTCCCCATGACGTTCCAAGCATCATCACTGGTGTTCCATATTGAGGGGACAATGGAGGCAACTGCCGTCCACCAAAGGTAAAATTCCCTGGTGGTGACACAAAAGCTGGCTGACTCGAAACAACTGGGTAATACCAACTTTTTATTCCTTGTAATGCTGTGTTGTGAGATCCATTGTTACTTGGTCCTGCTCCGAGATTCTGCACCGGCGTATCTGTTGCAGATGTCTAGAATATGACACGATATAAGGGATTATTAACCATACTGACTGGTGGCACCTCTAAACTCGCTGCTCCTGTAGCCGTATTAACTCCTGCCGTCATAAATCTACTAGGTCCAGCACTTCCTGTGTTTGCATTATGGTCAGTTAGCCTCTGAAAAGCATTTTCAAAACGCTCCACTTGTGTGACCACAGCATGCTCTATTTCTAAAAATCGTTGATGCAACATCTCAGGGTTTATCACTGGAATCTGACTCGTTTGGCCCTGGCTACTGAACACATGAACCTGAAACAACAGGCTCTGAAAGGCTGGAGTTTGAAACCCTGGACTTCTATAGGACCCGAGATAACTCGATCTTTCTCCAAACAGACTTGATCCCACATTGGACTGTTGCTAGCTAGATTTGTCGTCCTATCCCAGTGGACTGATCTATTATTACTATTGAATAGGAATCCACCACCGAAATGTTCGGAAGCGTATTCATTGGCAAGGAACTCCCATCTGATGCAGAAGTCTGATTCGGTATAGAGCCCTGTCCTGATGAATGTGCTGTTGCTGATGACTGAGGTAATGACATCGTTTTTCTACTTAAACAATGCCTGGAACACGCAAATCGGTCCTACTGGGCGTGCCAAATTTTATGTTTGAGTCAAAATTGTATTTTGTAGTGGAAACCGATTCAGCTCAAACTAATTTCAAGAAACTGCGTGATATTCTCAAAGTGCGTAAACCAAACGCTGAAATTGTCCTAAACATGATGATGCCTTTGAATTGGTACTCAACCGAATAATGAGAAATTCTAAGAAATGGATAAAATGGCTTGCAAGAGCCTGTTTTATTGATTGAATGAAAACAAATCGGCTTTGAATAGCACGAATCGCCGAAATTATTACAACGTTTAAAGCTGAAATATAAACGAATATATAAAAGCTTAAAATTACAAAGAACAAAGCTATAAAGGAAAATATGATTTCTGATTCTTGGATAATAAGTTGTGTCCTTTCCGGTACCTCCTTCATAACTTTTATACTGATTCCGCCAACCCTAGCTAGGTTGCAACAAAAGTCGAATTCCGAAAGGATTCCTGTTGTAACTGGAATCCTTCTTCGACATGGATTGTGGTGTCATTGACTCCTTTTCAGATTTGGTTCCTCGCTCCCTGTTGCATCCACAAATTTTAACCAAGGCAGGCTTCAAACCGATTTTTCCTCTATTAAAGTGCTGTGATTAGCCTATTCTCATGTGGACCATATTTGTCAAAAATCGGTCCAACAAATATGTGTTCGTAGTAATGCATCAAAGTGCCAAGAACTTGAACAAAAGTACAAAAAAGGAAGGACCAATAAATATATTTTAAAATAATCATGGGAAACGACAAATAAAAATATAAATTAAACTTATAATAACAAAAATTCGCTAAAAATAAAACAAATATGTACGTCAAAAATAATAAATACTGGGAGTCGTGAGATATTTTTGACCAAAAATTTAGGTGTAATTTGCTGAAATCTGACTGAAAGATAAAGTTTTGTAAAATTAATAGAATTTATGGTGCAATTTGCTTCTTTCCAAAAGTTTAGGGGAAAAAACGTAGTAGTTTAGGACAAAATTTTGATAGTTTTCCATTTTGCCCTTTAGAAATTACTTAAAACAACAAACTTCAAACATAGGGTACGTGATTTGGTGAGACCAATTCTTAGGATACATGATCTAAAGACCCCCTATTCTTAGGGTACATAAAGTGGAATTTTTCCTAAAATAATTAAGTATACTCAATTTTTTTCCGGCTGAAAAAGTATACTTAATTTTAATTGAAGGCATGAGACATATAATTTAAGCTTGTGTATTTCAGTGCATTCTTTACCTGCGAAATTCAGGCCGTGCAAATCTTATTTTTACCCCATAAGAGTGTTAATGAATGAAAATTATAATGATGAATTTAGACTAATTTGTTTGTGTTCGGGAAAGACTTTGTGCATAATAACAATTAGAACTGTGATAGATTTGAGTTTGTAAATAAGGGATTCTTAATTACGAAAAAAAATAAAATTGTTGTTTACTTTTTACAAGTGTACTCCATCCTTTCAGAAAATAACAGTTCCGCAAAAGAAGTTGAAAAATAAAATATAGTTCATCAAAGAATTAAGAAGGAAAAAATTTTAGATTTTACAAAATCAAGCACAAAGACAAAACTGCCCTTATCACAAGTCAAAGGTTAAAGTATTGACCGTTAGAAAACTAACTGTAAGTGTGTAACTGGACGGAAAAGTAAAAGAATGCAAACTTACAACTTATGGTGGCACTTAAATTATTTTTCAACTTATTGGGTGGATCGAATATTGACCTTCCAAGTTATGATACTTTTTAGACAAATTAGTGAAACTATGAAGAAAAGTTTTTTTTTTTTGTGAAAATTGAATTATATTATAACTGCACCAATGAAAAAGTCTCAATTGTACATAACCTATCTCTGTTTTTACTATGTCCTGATCAATACAAAACAAAAGGCCTGTAAAAAAATTATTGAGAAAATTTAGATTAAGGACAGTGGAGAGTTTTTAATTAATAAAAGAGATACAAGTTCTACATAACATGGATTAGGGGCAGTAAATTATTTTCTCAAATTCATAATATTGAGTTATTTATTCACTACCATAACTACCCTTACTCTTTTGATCCTATCACGTTGTTGAACTACAGAAAAAAAAAAAAAAAAAAAGACCACGTAAAAGAAGATTCGAGTCACAATTTATTGAGAAAAGACCACTTTACTGTTCACGTTATGGGATTGAGGGTCATAACCGTGCTACGTGTAAAGAGCCAATATGATTTCTCCATTCATTTATACAATTAGTGCACTTCAAAATTTATTTTTTTTTTAGTTGCTAGCTTTTTATTATGATGAGAGAATAAATTGCTCTGGAGTCGTGGATTGATTTTTATTTGAAAGATTTTTATTTTTAAAAGTTCATTGGGTTTGATGCCTTCTAACTTTAGTTGATTCTTCCATTTATACATTTTGTAGCATTTGTAACAAATGGAATAAGCTATTCGTCATTATACAGCAGCCAGTTTATACTCTGTAGTAGCATTGGCCTCAAAAAATCTCGAGCTCCTTTTCCTTCCAGTTCCATATCCAAAATTTCTCAGAAAAAAAAGGTTGTTAGTGTGTTTTTGTTGGCCATTTTGGGAGGCAACAGCTCTCCTTCCGCCGATGGTGGAAATGGTGATGGTGAAGGTGGACTGGTGGTGGTGATGGATACCTCAACTAACAAGTATCCCCTAAGCACTTAGTCTTTAATCTCTGTGCATCCAAAAACAGGTTACAATCATAGAAAACCCAATAAGCAGAACAAAAAAGCCAGATATAATACATCCCACTTGTTTCTGAAAATTGAAAACAAAAAGCACTTACCCACATCGTCTTCTGAAGGAACTTCAGCTTGGTTCAACCAAGTGACAATTTTCTTTATCTCATCGCTTGTGCCATTCTGTTATTAAAAAAAACAACAACATGAAGATCTTGAAATCAGTCTGACAGAATTATAATTCAAATAAAGAAGGTTCTTTTTTTTCTAGTGCAACATGATATGATCAAAATAATAAGGGCAATTACGGTAGTATATAAACAATTTAATTTTAAGATTTTGAGAAAATAATTTATTGCCCTTAATACATACTATGTAAAGCTTATACCCCTTTTTATTAATTAACAACTCCCCACTGCTCTTAATTCAAATTTTCCCAAAATTATTCTGCAAGATCCTCTGTTCAACCTCAGTCCATGCCTTTCTTCTGCACCAATACAGTCTTGTTCTAACTTCAAATTTAATCAACTTGAAAATATCAATTTCTGTTCTTCAAATTACCAATGAGGAGTCTTTTTGTTTTTTTCTTTCCAAATAAATGTGATAGATACATGCAGCCAAACCAGCGAAAAAGATTATTCTTTTTAATTTTGCCTCCTTCCAAATTTGCTTCACCCGCAGCTGCCATCTTTCAAATCTGCATAAGATCAACCTATTCCCCAACCAAGTCTGCAACTGTTTCATCAACTCCGCAAAAAAACACATTAGAAAAAGAGATGCTTGCCCGTTTCGTTAGCCCATTACATAGAGGACAACTTGTATCTGGTACAATTAGATTCATCTTCTGCAGTCTATCTCTCGAGAGCCACAATTACATTCATCTTCAGCAGTCTATCTCAAGATAGAACTCTTTCTCTCCACACTAACCAACTGATAAATGCATGTTTCGAGACATTCTGCCTTAACCATATTACATTGAGCTTCCTTCCTTTTCTCGACTGAACCAGCAAGCCATTGATACCCAGAAACCACTATGTACTTACCATTTGCATTTCCCTTCTATTTAGTTCCCTCAAATTCTTCTCTGGCTTGATCTCTGACCTTTAACAATTGCTTCCAATGCCAATTAGTATCTAATTTTGGTTGTGCATCCCAGTACTTAGAACTTTTTATATATCTAGTATGTATCTATTTGATCCACATGTTATCTAATTTTAGTGCCAAACTCCAAATCTATTTTAATAATGCAGTTTATTCAAACCTTAGCATCTCATATACCCAATCCCCCTTCTGATTTTCTCTCGTACAGATCCTCTCATTTCACTAAAGCCAAAGTTTTACTAGTTTCCTTTATACCCCACAAAAGTCCTTGCAAATTCACATGTATAGTGATACTTTGAGGCAGAATGAACATAGAACCTCAATAAGCATGCATAACCATCAAAATTGAGTTTTATTATAAACAAAAAGTTATATTCAAAATATTAATAGGTGCCAAAAATATTTAACAAGAAAAAAATGTTTATAAAAATGATACTATTAGAGAGCATAATCGACAAATTAATCAAATAATCAGGACGAAAGTTATCCATAATAATCAAATTTGAAAGGAAACTTCGTAATTTATCTTTTTGCCATTGGTGATGAAGAATAGGCTTCATATGAAACATTGGAAACTACGGATGGCAATTTCGGACAATAACTAAACCTAAAGGACCAAATTTCTACAAATACTTAAAAAGCAAGGATTTGAGTGTAATATGTATAAATAAACTATGGGACACAACCCTTTTTTAAGTATTTAACAGCAAAATTTAGGCAGAGTAGCCGCCGACTGGGTATAGTCTGAAAGAATGGGGGCGAAGAGAAAGAACTCCGGCGACGGCGATGGAAGTTCGAACGGAGATGGGAAAGAAGTCAAGAAAGCGAAAAAGAAAGAGAGTATGGCGGAATCATTGCTTCCTTCGATGATAAAGAACAAAGAGAAGAGGTCAGAAGTCCATGCCAAGCTTAAGCACCAGAAAAAGCTTGAGAAGCGTAAGAAGGCTAAGGCTCGTGAAGCTGCAGAGAAAAGGGCGCTGGACCTTGGAGAAGAGGTTTCGTTTTGATTTCCCTTTCTTTTCGTTTTTGTTCACTTTCGGGTTTTTTGGAAAATTATGCAAAACGTGTATATGGCGGCGGATACGAAATCGCCTCTGCCACTTCGGTTAGATTGATATGTGTAGCAAAGTCTATCTCATGAGTTGGTTCTCAAGTAGTTTCAGATTTGGGGGGTAAAACGCTACTGCATTGTTGGATTAATTGTGTTCTTTCTGCTGGAATTTTTATGACGGGATTGTAGTTTATGAGGTTGTTTGAAATTTGGGGTTCGGTTTTATTCGAAGCTTTGGAACTTGTGTTTTAGTATTTGGGATTTTTAGCTACTACCATATGTAGGATTTGGGAACGTAGTTGATAAAACTGGTGTTAAAAATTTCATATGTTATCTCGGAATGTATATGGATTGTCCTTCTCTTCTTTCCTTTACAGAGGTACCACCAAATCTGAGCATTAACATTTAACACTTAGCATCCTAATGTTTGATTTTCGTTGTATTTGAAGTTCTTTGACTATTGTTTTTTTGTGATTTTTCAATTCTTGTGAAAAAATTGAATATAGTAGTTTAGTGATGTTAACGATTTATGAATTAATAACTAGGGAGTTCATGAAAGGTTGATAGTTCTTATAATTGGTTGAGTTCTATTGTGGGTAGACTGTTTTTTCCTTTATGCAATCTTTGGGGGATGCTTTACCATTTATGTCATTTTCGTGCAGCCTCCACCGAAGAGTATCCCTCGTACAATTGAAAATACTAGGGAGTTCGATGAGACTATTTGCATGCCTGATGATGAAGAGGTATTCTCAACTTTATTTTGTAGGGCTGAACACGCTTAAAGGATTGTTTTACAAAATCAAAGCTGTACAATATCTGTGAATTTGTTGAATGGTTATCCCTACATATGCAGCTATTTGCTGGAAATGATGCGGACGAATTCGCTCCAGTGTTGAATCAGGAGCTGACTCCGAAGATTCTGATTACCACTTGCCGCTTCAATTCAACTGTATGTTTGTACATTTGCAATAATACTTTTCGAAGGCCTTCCCTTTTTTTTTTGTTAAGTTTTATCTTTTTATGTACTATTTTTCGCTGTTGCCGTAAGCAGTATATCGTGATATGATTGTTCCCTATCGTATAGATTTGTCATTTTTCTCATGTCTTTGTTTAATATGCTTTTATCATGCAGAGGGGGCCTGCCTTCATATCAGATTTACTCTCTGTCATCCCGAATTCTGTCTACTACAAAAGAGGAACCTATGATCTCAAAAAGGTTTTCCTGCCGAGTTCTATTTCCTTTTATGGGTGTTAGTTTTTTCTTTGGCATAAAGAATAAGACATGTTCAAGTGTGAATATAACAGAGTGGTTCCATTCTGTGTTTTTGTTTGCTGATGCAGATAGTAGAATATGCCAAAAATAAAGACTTCAGTTTCGTTATTGTTGTCCACACTAACCGTCGGGAACCAGGTATTGTATCTCGTCTTGATGTCTAAACTTGCACAGTTGCATTGATCTTTCATTTTTATATTTTTTTTTTCTCTAAGCGAAGCCGAATGCTAACCACCAGTAATTTAGATGCTCTTTTAATGATCGGCTTGCCGAATGGACCAACTGCCCACTTCAAGGTGTCAAATCTTGTTTTGCGGAAGGATATTAAGGTTGGTTTCAAATTCTTGCCCCAGTTATTGTATTGCTGATAAGTTTTATAGCAGCTTGAAGGAAAAGAAAAAAAACCAGAAATGCCTGTCCAACAATCCTTACATAATTTATGTACAATGGTTCAGTGTCTTACTATAGGATGATTACACGCCTTGCACTGTCTTTTCCTGCCTTTCCTGAAAAATCTTTGCTGCCTGTCTTAAAAATGTACATTTATGCTTGGACGTCAGACAATGTTTTCTCCTACAATGAATCTTTTGAAGCTGATGCTTTCGTATAAAACTTAATATCTTAACCCCGTTTGCAACGAAAATCTTAATAAACATAATGGCTGAGGAATGCGAATATTACTGAATACTATTGACGTTCTTAGCCACCACAGTATTATTTTGCAAGTGGTTTTAATTTTTTTTTTTTTTCCCGTTTTGCTCTCAAAGTTTTGGAATTTCTTCTTGTAAGAGTTTTGTAAATGTTGTTGTAGGAGTTACGCTGTGGGGAATAGTTATGTATTAGTTGCTTTGTTTATTTATCTTGCTTTTTATAACTGAGACTTACATGCTTAACTTTCACCTCCATGTGCTTGTAGAATCATGGCAATCCGACCAGCCACAATCCTGAGCTAATAATGAATAACTTCACAACTCGTTTGGGACATCGTATTGGCAGGTAAAGTCCTGGTCTATTTGGCATTGATGTGTAGAAGGTTCTCTCATCTGTGTTTAATCCCTTGGTATCATCCAGGAATTTGTAATGACAATATGCTATCATTCTCACGTGGCCTAAACTGTTTTTTAAATATATTTCTCTGTGCATTATGTTACTTGATTTCTTTCTCCTGCTCGAGTGTTTTGACGGGTGCATGGAATGTTGTGTCCCACTAGGTTATTTCAATCGCTTTTCCCTCAAGATCCCAATTTCCGAGGTCGTCGAGTTGTGACGTTTCACAATCAACGTGACTTTATCTTCTTCCGTCACCACCGGTTCGTCTTGTTTGCTATCTTTTCAAGATTTTTATTATTGGCTTTGAATGGAGTTTTCTGATTGCTGTTTCTGTTCTCCTATCTGAAGCTATATATTTGAGACCAAAGAAAGCAAGCAGGTCTCATCAAAAGGGAAAAATGCTAAAACTGACAAGGATGAGGGAAGCTCAGAGCCAAAAGTAATAGCACGGCTTCAGGTTGTGTTTCTGATTTTTATTTAAAATGTATTTGAGAACTAATTTAATGCTCCTCCATTGTTGTGTGCCCAATGAGAATTCAAGAAAAACAGTTTGCTAGACTCTATTTTGTCTCAATTATTTATCCTTCAGAAAACCGGTGTTATACGAAGGTAATCAAAACGTAAGGGAGAGCATTACTTTAACTTGAAATTAAGTAATGAACCTGGATTACAAATTATTATATATGTTGATCTTTTTCAGGGGGACATTAATTTTACAATGGGAATTTCATGTTAGCTTACACTTGCTTTGAATTGGGGATCACTGAGTGAAACCATTTGTTAAGGATTATATTAAGTCCTCGTTGTAATAGACTAATTATCGGAAACAATATGAAACTTTTATTTTGCCATTCCTGGCTCCTGGCTTTATTGTTAAGGATGTTTCCTTGAATATCATCTTTTACTGGCAGTACTACTTCATGTTCATGTGTTATGAGCTTGACCAATAGTTTCGAGAATACAAATAAAATTTGGTTAAGAGCTACCGATAAATAGTTAGGGTATGTTGATAGTCTACTGTACAATTAGTCGAAACACCTTATCTTTCCCTATTTCTCTCTCATATTTGATATAAAACTTGCAGGAGTGTGGTCCTCGATTTACTTTGAAGTTACGTTCTCTACAACATGGGACATTTGATTCAAAAGGAGGTGAATTTGAGTGGGTTCACAAGGTAATTTCCTGGCATTTTAAAATGTGTTTATTCAGCTCGAGAACAACTTGGTTTGTTTTTCCCCAGGTTTTGATTAAGATATTCATGTTTTCTCCTTTCTGTGCCTTGATTCTATCTATGCCAGCCGGAAATGGACACTAGTCGCAGGAGGTTTTTCTTGTGAGACCTGCTTCTTGGTCATGATCAATTACAACAGTTTCCAGGCAAAAGCAACGGGACCAAATTGTGAATGTCATCTTATGCTTGATTCTTTCACATAGTTGATGCACCGATTTGGTATTTGGACATTTTTCTAGGTGTGTGGGTTGCTGCAGGAGGGTGTAGGTGGTCTAATATTTAGGGTTCCGAGTTGTCTATTTTGGATTGAGCAGCGTTATGTATATGAATGGAAGTGCAGGGAGCTTATTTGAGTAGGTTTTACATTATGTGATGATTAAAGAGGCGCTGATTATACATGATCAAAAAGATATTAGCTTTGTTGATTTTTGTTTTTTCGGGAAGCACTGTTGATTTTGATTTCTTTGTCTGCATTTGTTTAGGCTGTATTCATATCATGATGTGGGGCTGTGCAAATTCCTACATAGCATTTCTGTCTGTTTGCTTGCAAAGCATTTTAATAACCTTCCCTCTTTAAAATACAATCAACATTTTGACAATGATTAGTCTCAATCACCTTCGCATTTTTCCTCTCAAATGTGTCCTGAAATTGAAGTATTGGAAAAACCGATTGGAGAGGCTCCTATAATGGGAGACGAAATTACAACCACCACCATTTGATAAGAACCAAAGCAACATCCAGTGGGAATTGTTTTTCACCTCCCAAAATAAAAAATTTTATTGCAGTTGGAAAAAATATAAGATACGTGGTTATTTTCTTAAGAGGAAACTAAATCCCATGCTCTTCGATTCGTAAACTAAATTAAGATTATCTTTCTCATGTTACCATTATAACAATCTCATCCTTTTGTACTTCAATTAGTCGCAGAGCTGGAATTTTGACTTATGAAATTCAACAAAACAAGTCTACTAAGACCTAAAAAACATATTTAAGTATTAAAAAAATTTTATGAAAATATTTTTTCATTTCAAGAATTACTATGTTTAAGTACCATGTCATTATGGCCTTTTATTTATTTATTTATTATTATTGATATGTCGGGAACTCTATTAAAGATAAGTAAATCTACCATTTAAGAAATCAAATGCCATAAAAATAGTACTAGATACTTTAAATTAATTTTTTGCGTGTACTTTCATTCATAGACATTTTTATAGTATTAGTGAAAAAATGCATATACGAATACATATTGGACCATCAACGGAAGCAAAAGAATTATAAATTGGACAAATTTTTTTAAAATAAAAATTTCAATACAAGAAAATCAACTGGAACGAACTTGTCTTTTGCTGTCGGATGATAAGGCATGACCAACCTATATTCAACAAGTGAACCAATATTTTTTTAGCCTATAATTTTTTTCTTTCGTTGCATTTTCACGTCTATGTGATCTAAATGTGAGCTGGGCCTTGAATTGCAATGTTTTATTTATATCATGTTTGTTAACGGATTTTACAATATTATTATTACTCCCTCCATTTTTTTTTTTTATATATCTTTCTAGAAAATTCATCAAGACCAAGAAGATACCAACTAATGTAGTTAAAATACAAAAACATCTTATTAATTGTTTATATAATTCATCACAAACCAATAGAAATTCATTATAATTTCATTTCCAATGCAAAGTAAGTTTAGTAAAAGGTAACCAAATGTGCCTCGATTCGTGAAAACGACATATATTTAAAAAAATTCACCAAATCCTAAAACGACATATATTTCAAAATGAAGGGAGTATTATTATTTGGAAAATATAAATCTTTTGTGCACTGGAAACAAGTCACAGGAGTATAACCGAAAACTCATCTCTGTTGCCAAAGGAAAGAACAAGAAGCCTGGTAATTGTGGTAATAAGAAAAGTTAAGTGATAACATTGAAATGAAAATAGCCAATGCAATGAAACTCATTCGCCGCGCTGGTAAAAATGAGAGGACGGGAGTTGATTTGCAGCCGAACCTGAATAAGCTTTGTTACCAGCAAACCAGCAATTCCCTCTTTAACATTTTTAGATTTGACAACAACAGAAGTGAAAGCGCAATTGAATGTAAATCACAATAGTAGCAGTAACATATTCATGATTAGACAATTTGATCAAATGATGGAACTTTGGGAAATTTCCTATCAAAGTTTGGAAATAAATGCTTCCCAAATATCAAAATAACCAATTTGTTGGGATTAATGTAGACTTTGCAGTATGTTATATTATATATAATAGAAGAATGCCATTGGAAGAACTCTGCAGTTCAATAGAAATCACATGGATATTCTTCTGGGCACAAAAGAGTTTTGCCACCTTTCAATGGAGAATCAAGATGCCTTAGAAGGAGAAACTTTCGCATCATAGTCCGGGAACTCAGCAGCCAAATCAGATACATCATCTGGAATTTCTGCTTTCATTTTCTTATTGTCAGTGAAAGAGCACTCATTAGGAGCTTCTCTCTTCAAAGTTCCTTTGGTTTCTTCGGCTTCAGCATTTGATGAAGAAATCTCTGAACTGTTGGCTTCATTTTCGGCTGCATTATCGTTGGAATCCTCCATATCTTTCTCATACTCCTCTATCTTATTTTGCAGTTTCTCTATTGCACTCATCAGTTCTGTGTTAACCTGTATCAAAGCAAGTCCAACAGATAATGAACATTCGAAAAGAACCAATCAGAGGAAATGATCTTTAAAACACAACTGCAAGCTAAACATAAAATCGAGAGAATGCTACTACTAATGGATGCAAAAATGCTGCTTACATAATTGGTTAAAAAGAATTATGCATCGCCAACCTGAATGTTCTGGAGAAACTCAGATATGTCACTTGGGCAAATAGGGCAATTCATGACATGCTTCTGTGCACGAAGTTGACGGCCACCCTGACATTTTCTTTCTCTTAAGAATGCTTGTCCAGAAAATTTTTCTTGAAGACAGGATTTGCAGAAGTTATGAGCACATGGCGTGGTTACAGGGAGATTCAACATATTTTTACACAGTGAGCAGTTGAACTCTGCAGGAAATATTTTTTTGTACAAATTAATGTAATAATCTCAGACATGGAAAAAGTACAGAAACTCCTCCAAACAGGCAACCACAATATAGAGAACACAACTGTGGTTTGGTTTCAGGATTTACTAGTTCCATGCACAAAACTAGCAAAAGCAACACGTGTGGTTTTTGTTTTTGGAGGATGCAATGGAGATGATAGCACAGGCTAAGATTCTATCAACTTTACGATCTAAATTAGAATGTACAAACCTTTGAGAAGTTCCATTCTTATAGAAGCATTTTGTGCTCTCTTCAGTGTTTTTCGTGCCCTCTCTATGAATTCAGGATCAACTGGGGCAACTTTCTCTTTGCTAGAAGGTGGCGATTTTTTCCATATCCAACAACTGTTTCCCTCCTGCAATCAACATTTTCATAAATGATATACAGTATACTTCCAACAGAAAATGCACACCTTTACTAGTGAGCTGAAACAATTTTCTGATACTCTGAAAAGAAAAGTAACTAAGAAAAATCCAACAATAAAAGAAGGCCTGATTAATGAGCTGGCTTGGTAGCTTTGGTTTTAATCTATGTGTATCACTAGTTTGAGATGCATATGCCATCACAGTACAGAAACTTTTAGCAAACCAGTGTGATACATAAGAGTGAAATTTCTTAAATGATTAGACTTCAGAAGTTAAACAAGGGTAAGGCTTAAGATTGTGAATCACAGGGCATCTTATGGCTAGCTTATGGTAATGAAGTTCAAGACCCAGTTATGCGACCATTCAAAAGTTCAATGACAAATACAGAGGTGCCAAGTCTAAGACGAAAGAGTCCCAAGAGAACCACTCACATCAAAATCCCAAGCTGGACTTTCTGTCCTCTCAAATACATGAATTGCTTGCTGCAGCTCAGGAACGTCGGGAAGAGGTCTGGGACGATCTCCATCCTCATCACTGAAAGCAAATAAAGAGAATAAGGGATTACGACTTATCTTAATGAAAAACCTAAGTAAAAAACTTTAGTTGTCAGACCTAGTCCATGGTGCAGGCTCATTGTCACAGCGCACAAATAAGTATCTACAGACTTTAAAACCCTGCTCAATTGAGATTAGTCATTTAAACTTGATCAGGACAAACTGGAAAAAGGTAGGGTGGGGGTGGGAGACTGGAGAAAATATAAATGAAACAGGACATTCTAACCTGCTGCCCAACTTTTAACCAGCATTTCTCTATTCTGTAGATCCCATCGTAGCGCAAATCACTCTCTGGGGCGTAGGATGAATGTTTATCTTTATGTGATCTGCCCATCAGAGTTGAGAAGCTGAGAAACCAATTCTAAGTGATAATAAATGCAGCAAGCTCTGAAACGTTGGTTCAGATATCAAGCAGGACAAAATTTAAGTACAACTGTTACCAAACACCAAAATGCATAAATGTAGAGAATCTACTTAATTTGCACAAGTGCAAAGTGATTGACAAAAATGCAATCCCGAAGTCAAGGCAACTTTAATGCCTCACATCATCCAGAGCCAAGTTCACTTGAAGAATAACGTAAGCAAATGATAAACTCTCAAAAATTTGAACTTCCAATGAATGCAAAAGCGAATTTCTACACGAACATGGAACATATTTGAAACTGGAAATAGACCAATTAAATGTAAGTTTTCTATCATGAGTGCGCGGCTAACCAAATCAAAGGGTTAGGTTAAAATGAGTCAGAATTCCATCCAGTATGCAAATGGAACCTAAAGACGCATGCCCTCTCTGATTATATTTTTCTGAGTATCCACAAAGAAAATCCCCAATCAACCCTCCAACGGACTCAGAAAAGGGAAATGAAAGACCAAAATAAGCCTGTTCTTACCACTTCAACAAAATCCATACAATAGACGTCAAACAATACATTAGAGCAGAGAATTCTAACAGAAAAAACTTCATCGTACAAGTGTGAATATCACAGACAGATGCAAGTTAAATATCAGTATAAACATAAATCTCCTTTGTTGGGGACAAGATACTCATAAATCTTCAATAAAGCATTATTATCACTTTGACCCTATTCCTGTACATCATCAGACCAAAAAATTCACAATTATTTTGCCATCAAATTTATCAATGGTAAATCTGAAGATTTGATTCTAGTTATATGCCATTATGCAATGATTACATCATGTGCGAAATGGCAAAGCTATAATTTTGGAGGGTGGACAAGATTTCCCAGTATGAGCTAGTGACAGAAAGCCAGATGTAAATGCTCCATTGACATTTCACTGCCATGTCTCCACATAATGCATATTCCAGTATGAGAATCTGCCTAAATTAACCCCAACAATATCTAGGCACTTACAGATAGATTTTCTGTTTAGAAAATCTGGACAGAGAGGCAACATGCGTTATATGGAATAATAAAATTGCAATATAAGCTCTAGTTCTCACCTAACTACACGAACTGGATACCCTTTCTTGCAGCTAACACGCAAGGCCTCATTGAAGTTCTTGAATTCCTGGTCAGATGATTGATCCTTGTTTGTTCGCTTGTTGCCACTTAGATCTCTCCCACCACTACCATAAAAACATGTACATATGTATAAGTAAAAATAGGAGAAAGAATCCATACAATGTTAAACAGAAAAACACAATGCATTAAAACAGAATAAAGAAATACAAGCCCAACAGGTGAACAACAAAAGAAGCCTAAGTACATTCACTTGATTACTGTTGAAACATTGTTCACATAACCCTAACCTTCCTGTGTAAAGAAACCATTCTCCATGATCTTCATCATCCACATAACCTCCTGAAAGCACTACTGACTGAGCCCCAGTCTTTGCCTGACCAGAAATCCCACAAACAAGTGGACGGTGAACTCCCCACTGCCTGCATTTATATCTATTTGCAAAGCACTGACCAACCAAGATACCCAAGTTCATCACTGGATCACTCTCAGCTGATATAGGTCCAAAATGATCTGACGGAATGGTGACAAAAATCCTGCCACTTTTTGCATTAGCAATCCCACCCCTTTTGGCTCTTTCTGTCACATATGGCTCATCAGGCAAATCTTCATCTTTCAGATTATGATAAACCTTTTGTGGTGGTTGTTCAACAGCACATGTTCTCATGATTCTGGCACGCCTGATAGTAGCTACCAAGGTTGAGTTAATACGAGGTTGGCTTGCCATTTTAGGAGGAATGTCACAACGGCATTTTGCACAAGTACGCTTCCCTTGACCAATCCATTTCTGAAAGCATTTGAGGCAGAAGTTGTGGCCGCAAGGTGTCTGGAACCTCAAAATGAAACGTTAAATGTAAAGCAGCTTGTAAATTGCTCTGCCAAACAAATCAAGGTTCAATGAATCATTGAAGAAAATTCCAGTGACACTAATATGAACTATGCTTTCGTGACTAAGTTCCTCTTAACTTATGACAGGAAGAGCAAGAAACCAACATCAAACTGCAGATTTGAAGTTCATGAAAATCAAAAGTCGCGAGAGTGCAACTAGAATTCTAGAAAGTCAAACAGTTTAGAGGTACAATTGTTTATGATTAATTTTTCAGAGGTAGTATCTTTAATTATCATCAAAAAGAGTAGAACTTAGAATTTCACATTTTTCTTAAAATAAGTCATCTCCAATGCTATTGAATCTAGCAAAAACAAAATGGTAACGTTGCCTATGAAAACATAAATCCTGAACTGGAGATCTTCAAAATGCAGAACCGGAGTTCTGAAGAAACAAAAACAAAATGTAAACTAAAAAAAAGTAACTTTCCGTTACTGAGTACTTGAAAACACAGATAACTTCACAAATTTTCACAAGTTGATCAATTCCAATGAATGTGACGATATACATTTGCATTTCTCAAAACATCTAATGAGCACTCGATTGTTCCAAACAAATTGCGGCAAGTTAAATCGAAGAAATCATAAGTCCAGATGAAATAATAGAAGGGGCAAAAGGTATACCGTAACAGGACGCTCCGGTAGTTGCAGACAGAAAGAGCACTTAAAGCTCTCACTAAGAAGAGCCAGAGCTTCATTGGGCTTCTCTTCGCCTTTCTGCTTCCCCTGTTCCTCTACTCCATTCTTAACCTTTCCGCAAAGAACCTCCTGTTTCTTCATAGCCTTCTCGCTCTCCGTCATGGAAGCATCATCGTTGATAGCCTTAATTTTGGCAACCAGGTCGCCGACGGCCGACGGGGCCGGAGCTCCATCCAGGCCGTCGCCGGAGCAATCAGGACACACATATTTCACAATCTCTCCGAGTGTTTCGGGACACTCTCTCAGGCAGTCCAAGTGCCACGACGAGCCGCAGGTGGTGCAGCCGATGGTCCGTTCGAGTTCCGGGGTCTTCTTGCAGCACATACACACGCCGTCGGCGTCGACCGGAAGAAGCGGCCGGAGTTTTTGCGAATCAACGTCAGCACTCCCGTTCTCACCCGCCATTCTAGATGAAGATGGAAGATTCAGGAGCAGAGAAACTGGAAAAAGGGAACAATCGAAGTGAAACTGTGAAAGGGGAAGAGTGAAGCCTTTGAAGGAAGAAGGAGAAAGAGAGAAATGGGGAGGGCGGGAGTTTGAATTTTTTTGGACTGTTGCGTATTTCCACTGTTTTTTATGAGTGTTTCAGTTTAATAATGAATACTATATGAATGAATATTGTTTGCGGAGAGATTTGGGGATCAATCTCTCCTAATTTTCGGTTTAAATTGATACTTCGATGAACGATTAGGGCTAATTACTAGTGCAGCTAACTCAAAGTATTTCCGACCGTGGGCTAAATTAAGAGGATGGCTGAGATAAAAAGGGAAAACTTTGATAATTTAGAGTCGGTTTAGGTAAATCAAACGGATGATTGTGATAGGAAGGAATTATATTTGATTTTGAACACTAACGTGTTTTGAAATCCGTTAAGATTGTGTGAATCTGTCGAGAATATAAATGTGAACATGTCGTATATGAAGAAAGAATAGAGTATCATACGAGTATACGGTTAAGTCATGAAAGTGATACTTTTATTAAGGCTCTGTTTGATAATCACTTAATATAGCGACTTAATTTATTTAAATACTTAATGAAATTAAGTATGTTTAATAATCGCTACTAAAAAGTTTTTATGAATTAAGTTCTAAACTAATTAAGTACTTATAAATTCAGTGCATTTGATAATTAAAATTTTAAATAAGTTTCTCTGAGTATTCAGATTCAATCTTTATTCTTCATACTTCAGTCTTCAGAAATCAAATTCAGACATTTTTATCAAACAATGTAAATTTAGTCTTTAGACTTCAGACTTCAGTATTAAGTGTTAAGTGTTCAGATTCAGACTTTAGTGATTATCTAACGGAGCCTAAATTGGTCGATTAACATGAAAATTCTCAAAAGATGGTTTGAGAGGGTCACTAATTTGAATAGTGCTACTTGCTTAGAAACTGCTTGTATAATTCACATTCCATGCTAGACTCCTATTGATTTTTTAATGTGTATTTTTAACAAAGAAAACCATAAAAACTCCTAAGATCTTGGACTAAAGTTGAGACAAGATTTCATGGTGGGTCCTGATTTAGAGGGTTGGTTTTCTATACGTTTAATCTATCTTGTTCGTTGTGGGAGTAGGAAACTTATAAGAGATTATCGGGGTTTGAAATATTTGGATTTAGAAGCTGAATTTGTTCCATTTAATTATTAGTTTTATTGACAATAGTTTAATAGAGCATTTTATTGAAGTTAGATTGCAGCAGTCCCGTACTGTTACGTCGTTTGAGGAAGGAGCTGATGCAAGTAGACAGTGATCCCTACTTTCTTGAGCTTTTTTGGGATCTTTCGTGTTTAGTGGTGAGTTAAGCAATCACCAAGGCTACAAGAGGCGAATTTCAGCTATAAGCAAACAACTAGCCGATAACTATTCCGCGCGATGCGCGGAGAATTACATGCCGGTTATGTAACTGTTGGTATTGATTTGGAGTTGTACTCGTGTGCATCTCTGGACTCATGTTAATTCAACATGTCCAGGCAGGACTTGAAAAATAATTTGATTAGTAAAAGACCGTAAATTAGAATTTCACAAGAGATGGTCCATCAACGAGGCAGCGGCGTAGAAAACAAATATATCGAGCCAGTACAACTATATAAAATATGCACATTTACACCACACAAACGTTATACCTATCCTATGAGATTTGCAATGAGCCAAGGAACCGTCCCTTAAGCAGAAGCAAACTCAATTCGTGCGAAAAGATGAAATTTAATCCGACAACGATAATCAAGGCAAAGAAGGAAATAGAAGGAAAAAGAACAAATTTAAAAGCGTTTGAACCCATAGAATAAATTAAGCATGGCAACTATGATTTGTCAGACGGGCTGCCAATACATACTTCAAGCGCAAAGTTTCAAATCCCAAAAGCATAGTACGGTTGCAATTCAATAACAAAAGAGTTGCCCCCAAACCACATGGTTTGGGGGCAACTCTGATTAAAAGGGACAAACAAGTACGGGGATGCAAAAGTTTTTGCCAATCTGCATGAAGCAAGATAATCTTTTGGCTGTCATTTCTCGCTTCGCCTTGCGATCAACACTTGTGCAATCTGTCCCGAGAGTATTGGTTCCTGCAAGATTTGAATCCAGGCACACAGTTGCTTTGGCCTCATGAACCGTAACGTATATAAGTGAATAACACAGCAGGAAGAGATTGTAGAAAGATGATTGAGGTTACCTTTTGAGCTAACTGGAAGCAGTCCAGCAGCACCATCTGGCTGAACACCATTCTAGTCATCAGGAACTTCAGCACCATTTGGCTGAACACCATTCTGGTCATCAGGAACTTTAGCACCATTTGGCTGAACACCATTCTGGTCATCAGGAACTCCGGAAGACTGGCCAGCAGGACAACATTCAGAAAAGTTTGCCTCAGTTCTGGGAGCTGTTTCCCCGGGAGCGAAGAAGTCAACACGTTCAGTGGCTCTGTGTATGTACTTGTCGCAATACTTAGCCAATGTCATACGTGTATAGATCTGGAGTTTCACATGACTGTCAAAGTGTTTTAACAGTCGAGGGTTGTATGGAATAACCCAGCGATTGTCAAAAGAACAACCGTGAACCGTTACTTGGCGTCCGTTGTCGCGCCTGCGATATGTTGGACAACATGGACCAGCAAAGATCGTCTCATCAGAAAATTACCTAGGGTACCTGTATCTGCAGCGATCGGCACGCATGCAAGGGGATAACCCATTGTTAACACGGCATGCTACATGCATCATATGGTCACTAACCATGCGATGATCCTATATACTTCTGCAGCGATGATCATATGCAGAAGAGGATCGACAACAGAATCAGGGATCTCTGAAGAGATGATCCTATGTACGTCTGCAGCTTCAACAGGCTTGAAGGTATCCTTCAAGGTGATGAGGAAATGCGCATGAGGCAATCTATACTTCTGGAATCTCACGACATACACCAAAGCTGCGACTTCACCCAATGCACATGCAGTATTTAACTCATGAAGCAACGCATCCAGCTTGGCCCTAAAGACCTTCAACGACAAAGCAGGTACAGCAAGCGGATGCTCGTGCTGCAGTTTTTCTTGTATCTCTGGCCAGCTGGGGTTACAAGCCATCGTCATGAAAAGATCAGGTTCCCCAATTTTTTGCAGCAGCGCCATGGTATCAAGATACGGCCGTCGAGGACATCCAATGGATAGAGCAGGAAGTACCACTCTCTGACGAAGGCTGGGAATTTCATAAGCAGAATCCATATTAAAGTTTCAGCACTGTTGGACCTGCAGATATTGAAAACCACTAGATGTCAGGATCGATGTAAAGTTATGGCAGAGTATTCATATATGTGGGATGTGAAACACACTACTGTGTTAAAGATTAATACCTCAGTCGCAGTGTTCAGGAAAATTAGTACAGGCAGTAAAAATCTTTCGAGATCACCACCTTCAGCCCGCCCCAACACTTGCAGTATAAATATAAAATCCTTCTGAAAATGTATAAATTATTAGTGGATTCACTAAAGCAGTTGCTTATATATGTCAAACAATGCGAAAACAAAAGCGGAATTGATGAGAGTATGTTAAGGCACATCTAAGGAAATAACAGAATTAAAGTAGCAAACACTGGCTGTTTATTTAGTTTAAATCCGGCATTCAAAATGTCATTTGTCTGTAAACCATGCAATCTGCAACAAAAAATATAGTATACAAGTGATTTTTATAAAACATGTTTTCATCACTGAACCAGTAACAAAGGAAGAAGGGATGGAAACTTTTAAAAAGCACAGGCTGGAAAAACGGTTGCTCAGGAAGTTCTAACAGAAAATACAAATGTTTGTGAAGACTTCAAAAGTAGCGCAATTGAGAATCTAATACAATTAATGAGAAGAAAATTATGGTAGTCAATTAGAAAGATGCATAATTTGTCAACACCGACTAAGCAAAATCCAAAGTTGTAAGATGCAAAAATATTTATTTAGATTTCTTCAATCCTCCGAACCATCCAAAGGATGCTACTTTATTTTCTAACAAGAACAAACTCAGGTACGACGAAATAGTGATGTAAAAGAACATCTTATGTAGTAGTACAACTTCATTAGAAAACAAAAATACCTAATGATGACAATATTCATTCTTTAAGCTGTTGTTTGTCTAAGGCTATCATTCCCTAATGATGACAATATCACCATCGTTTCTAACTAAATGGCAATCGACACAAAAACAAACAGCCAAAGATGGAATAACTGGTTTTAAACTACAATAGATTCAGTTATACGGGAGTTCCAGATTTGTTGTAACCAAGGAATAAAGTGTGAGATTTTTTATTTGATGAAAGAAATTACATAAAACGGCACAATTAAGAGGCAGGGCAGTGAGGGCAAATGCACCGTGACCATTTTAATGCGATAGACCTTACAACTAAGTAAGAAGAGCATATAAAAGTGCAATCAGGAGGAGATTCAAACTTTATAGCACAGTTAATTAAAGAAGGAACAAGAGTAAAATACATTTGAAGAAACTCTCAATATATATTCGTGGGAGAACGCCTGAAATAAAAGCAGCATGAATGAGGGGGGAAAAAAACAGGGGCAACATTCCAATAACACGAGAATAAGCTAGACCATGCATTGTAAGAAAGTAGGCACAAAATAAGCTAAACCAGGATTTTGACTGCAAAATACAAGCAAAGGAAGCAAGGGGGAACCACAGTAATCCATTCGATTTGCACCACCGGATCATAAATTTTCAAGCATGGGGAATTAATTCAGAGTAAGAACTTACCGGCGAAGCCCTGGGTGGTGTTGAAGACGTGATGAAGGTTTAGGAAATTAACCCTTCTGATGGTAATATAGAAGCAGGCTGAGCCTTACTTGAACGCTTAGCACATGGCATCGAAGATATTGAATGTTGAACCATTGGGAAGCACTCACTGAGGAAGGCGAAAACAAAAATTTCACAAATTTGATAAAATTACAGAAGCGGCGGAATTGCCCAAAGGTTAAAAGGGAGTCCTATTCCTTCTTTAAACACACCTTGGGGATGGTGGAAGATTAATGCTCTTATCTTTATTTTATTTTTTTTGCCTGCCTTCGGATTCCATGTGGCTCTAATGACTCGATTGCTCCATTTGATATTTCCCAAAGAAATTGGTTTGATGTTGCAATCTGAATTTAGGGAACGATCTGTTGCTTTCAAGAAGAGCGTTAACTCAGCTGGATTGCGGGAAGCTAGAATTTGGCAAAAGGTTTATAGATCCGTTGAACGCATGTGCGATGGATCCTCAAAGAGGGAAAGCTCTAGCCGATGAATGAATTCAACGATAAAAAAAGTCCGGTCAGACATTAGGCAGGTATAGTAGCATCGAACACAAGTTACACAAGGACCATCGAAGAGCAAATGTTAACTGTTACAAACCTCATGATCAGCTTTCATGAATGTTGTTGGTGAATGCACAAGGATCTTTTCAGCATCTTCACCCAATAACACACCCCTAAGAGTATCAGAGTGATCAGTTACATCCGCTTCCAGGCGACACCTACAGACAAAAGCATCGGATGCAATCATGACAGATCACTCTAGATGTTAGAATCCATGTCTATGGTTCGAGGAAAACACAGATCCTGTCAGTTCCCGGGAAAGATGAGTTCAGAGTAAAACATCAACTTACCTAGGCAATGCCTTTTGTTGAAGGTCACAACCATTACAGGGATATACCAGTCCAAGTTCAGATGCAGTTGCTTGGTTACAATTCTGACAGCCCATGTACCAGAACTTCTGCAATATGTGCCGAAATGTGACCATCACCTTAACCTAGCCCATCTGAAGAAACCAAAGGCAGAACCACAATGATCAACTCCACTTTGTATATAACTAATGAAGATGAGGGAAACTCCATGAAATGAAAAATGAACAACAAAAGAATATAGGAATACCTTATCGCCATTATTAATGGCAACAATAGAAGTATAGTTTTCAATTGGCGCAGCATCCATCGTAATGTAATTTTGATTAAACTCCAAGGCATCGACATATGCCTGAATCTTTCTGAAGTTATTCTCCACCCTGGAACATGTCATGAACTAAGTGAATAAATTGATCGATAAAAGGAATAAGTGCTTCTGCAAGAATCAGGCAAATGATAAGTAGATACCACTGTTTCATTTGATCTGCTTCTTCAATCTTAGGGTTGACAAGAATCAGAGACTCATTCCCTGTCGAGACTTCAATCCCTACAGTTCAAGAAGCAGCACATAAGTTCAGTGCATGACTATGAAAAAATGAAAGACATCACCAACAGAAGTTTCATCATCAATTAGTGGGCAGATGAAGGCACCATTGAAGAATGTGGCACGCACGCGGTTGCAAACAACCACCGGGAAAGAGTTTAGTTTCTCCCTGATCTGTTCCCCAGCAGTTGCAACAAATTCATTCCACAAAGTCATAGTCACAGCTCGCATACTGCACAAAGAACAAGAAAGAACAAGATGTGATACCATCAGGAAATTTCGTGCGTAAAACAAACTTAGAAGAACAATAAAGCATATGGTTTGAGTAAGAGATGTAAGATCTATGTGGATTTTATACACTAATATATATAATTGTATGTTATAAACTATCATAAAATACTAGTCCACATAAAGTGATCTAATTAAATCCATAAACTATCATAAAATACTAGTCCACATAAAGTGATCTAATTAAATCAACTAAAGTTTGGGCTAATTATAATAATTAAGTTATAAGGTGTCCTTATAACCCAATATTGTGTAAAAACTCTAAGGCTCAGTTTCTTGTTCTATGATGGTTGGAACCGGAAACCCTATTATATATTGGTTGTGGTCCCCGGATGAGCCGTCGTGCCAAATCTTCGACTCCCTATTTATCAGAGGTTCTCACAAGGGTTTGATGAAATCATCTGGAAGACCAAACCGGATCGATGTTCTTGCCGCTACAGATTAAGGTACGCTTTCACTTTCGTATAGTTTTCAATAATTTGATGCGAAGGTCTCTACAGTATTTGGATTATTCCAACAAGTGGTATCAGAGCAACCTTGATGTCAATTATTGGGATATTTGGTCGTTTAAATAATTCGGATCAATTTACTCTCGGTTTTCGGTTGGCCGCTTCAAAAACTTGAGAAGGTTTCGCTTTGGTTTGTTTGAAAACTAGATTTGGTTATCAATTTTGAGATTTGGCCGCCGACCAGGTCCACTTGAAGTTCCATTGTAAGAATCCAATAAGTGCGACGGCTGTTTTTTTGTTAAGCACAACATTGGATCATTACATCTGCAGTTTCAGAAATATATTCTTTAAATGGATCAAAAAAATTATTTTGATGATTCGGTTACAGTTTCAAATTGATCCCGATTTGATTTTAGTTTTTCCATTCACGGTCTATGCGTTCGGCTTGGCTTTAGTCATCATTGATTTGTTTCTTTTCTGATTATTTGGTTATGCTATCAAAATGAATTATTCATATTAAGAAAGCCATACAACGCCTGTTCGGTTTTAGTATCCAGAATTAATATTGGTTCATAGGTTTTATTTTTATCAATTGATTATTTTGGAGCCACTTTGGTTGTTCATTCTGGGATTATGGCTGTTGATTGATCGATCTGATGCATTGGGACCTATTTTGTCATTGTAATCAATTTGGTTTGTCATGATTAATTAATTTTTTGTTTTTTCGGCTGCCGCAAGATTGATGATCATATTGATGCATGGTTCTTTAACAACGTAATTGCTTTGCACTTCTAGAAAATTAATGTGAAATGGGGCTTATGGATTAGAAGATTGTCCTTGCAATTATGATTAAAGAAACTTAATTTAATCTCTAACGAATACAAGCACAATTTTTTTTTGGTGGGTAGTTGAAAGTTTTGGGTTCAGATAAATAAATTTGGGAAAATTGATTCCGTTTCGGTAAGCCGCATCAAGCTTTCTTCAGTTTTTGGGATCCATAATATATTTCTTCAAGAATAAAATTCAAGATTGAAGAACCTTCTGATATTTAACAAAACTCCAGATTTTGTTTATTTTGGGTTTCTGAAGCTCGAAAACTAAATTATTGGATTTGGTAATTGATATGCATGTTTAGTCAACAGAGATTCTGGGTATTAGATTTGCACGTTAACTTAGAGCATATTTTAGTCGACTAAGGAATAAAAAGCAAGTTTTGGCTTTAAAGTTTCGATTCAGATTATTGTTATCAAACTATGGACCGTACGTAATATTGTTTTTGGAATATGCATATTGTTGCTGTTTAACACCAAATCCAGTACTATTTCCGTCAACCTTTAAGTGGGTTAAAGAAAATATAGTAAATGCCCGAAATTTTTTTGGGTTATGGGATAATGTTAAACTCAAATTTTGGCATAAAGTAAATCTATTATGATACATCTAGTATTATTTAAGTTGATTGATTGATACATTACGATCGTCAAAGTGACCTCTTTTGAATCGATTAATTAATTTAAAATATAAAGATGACAGTTATGTGTGTTTTGATTTCATGCGGGTAATGATCGGCCCAAAGGAAGGTCGTTATTTGGTCAGAATTAAAACATTTTTGTGGTAATAAATATGTGATAATTATTATGATTTTTTCATGTGAATAATAAGTCGGTCCAAAGAAAGGCTTATTATTTGACAGGACTGAATTATCAATATTTGATTACTACGCCAAGAGTACCTCTTGCAAATTGGTGTTTCTGTCCAAAGACTAAACCCAATGTTGTACTAGGTATCTTGTAAATGGGAATGCCAAATTTGAATTTATTAATCATATCATATTAGGTTTTAAATATGAGCTTGTATTTGGTTGTTTTTTAATACAGTTGATTCTGTTATTTTGGTAATATCTACTTTAGTTAAGTCCGTTAAGATTTTCAAAAACTAGAAGGAAACATTAGGAAAAAATAAGGAGCATGGTATAAAATAATATAGAATTGTTCATATTATAAAATATTTTGGGAATGAGTACTCTTTCAAGAGATCTTGTTTCCATAAGGTATTAGGAAAACGGGAACATGTAAAAATATATTATTTCAGAGTATCATCTCAAATTAAGACTAAACGCACGAAGGGCTTGTTCGTGCACTAAGAATCAATCTCTCTCATACAAAATACAGTTAAGTTAAGAACAGTTTTACTGTTAATAAGTTTATTTCATTTTGTAGAAGAAGAGAAATTAAATTAAGAGATGATTATAAGTGCTCACTTATGTTTAAAACATATAGAAAATAAAGAATTAGAAAAAGAAGGATAATTAAGTTGCAGTATCACAAAAGAAGTAAAATTAGGAAAATTAATTTGGTTACTACTTTTGTGGTAGTACTTCTTTTTTGGCTTAAAGAAATTATATAGCAACTGTTTTTTTTTTTTTTTTTAAGGTTCATTTGACTTGGTACCTATAGACGTATATAGTGAGTGGACTCCGGTAACACTGCTCACATAAGGGTATCTATGCAAGGTTGTTTGAATCACCAAATACCAACTGATGTTGAAAGACACATCTATATGGAGCATTGGTGAGTCAATTACGGTTGATGCAATAAATTTTAGGTGATTATTAAAGACTGGATTTTATTTGGACTTGAGAGAGACAGTTATTGTTCCATCTTTTAGGTGGAACTCAATTTATGTTTTCACATTGAACAAAATCTGGTTACTTTGTTCTTTTGGTAATAGTCTGTTAGTCTCTTTCAAAATTCAAAGAAAGTCAATTCAATTCTTTATTAAGTTAACCTTTATTTATTTAAGATCATTGCCTCAATTAACCAACCTTGTATGACAATTTATGTGGTACCAAAAGAAAATTTGGTAATGAGAATTTCGTATCAGTTTGGTAAAACTGTTTAAGGCACTGCTTTAGAAAAATAATAAAGTTAGCTGAAATTCTTAAATCTTAACAGATTCTAAAAAAAAAAAAAATCTGTGTTAAGTGTACTAAGAAAAAAAAAAAGAAACAAACAAACTAAATAAGATTAGGCGTCATAAGGCTTTCTGATGTTGTTAGAACTAATACATACGGATATTGTATTATGTTCACAAACAATTTTCTGGGGTTACCTCTTTGCCATTAATGAGAAGTACTATGACTAGACTTGTTCAAAGTTTTAAGACTAAATAAATTTTACGAACGAATTAAGTATTAGGTGAATTATGTCTAGGGTCATTGGTCAAATTTCTTAGTGAATATGGTATCGTTATATAGTAACACTACGCCAGAAAGTACAACTATTAATAGTGTTATTATAAGACGAATTCAGAAACTAAAGAATAGACTAAGTAGTATGACAAATTATACCACTTAATTAAACTTACTAAGAGAAAAAAGACATAAAAGACTGATATGACAGTGTCCCAACTAAAACAACAATTCTGGTGAATTGTGGACATGCAAATAAGCTAGCTACAGGCATTTTCATATTTTGAGTTATCCGGTTAAGGCAAGGCCGCATAGGTCTACATAAACGAAACTGGACTTGGTTTGTTGCTATTTTGTTGGACACATTAAAGCGTTTAAGAGAAATATCTAGTTTCTTGAGAATATTGAGTTTGAAGGGGAAGATAAGTTTAATGACATTGTCTTTAAAGGGAATATTTTTCTATTCATATGGTAATTCAAGATAGTGTTAAAATATTCCCTCATCAAGACAATTGTAAAAGACGGACTCAACAATCTTAAGTACAAATGCCATTAAGGGAATCCAATCGAAAGAGAAGAATTACAGTTACTATTAATGCCATAAATAAATAAATACAGTAATTGATAAAAATAACGTTTAAGTTCTTTTCTCATTACCCAAAGGTGACGTAAAAAGATATAAGAGTTATTTTGTCAATAAAGAATTTAGTCATAAAGATGGCATTATCATATAGAGACCTTCTCTTTTGCATTATTAGAATTCCAGATTTTAAGACTATAGTCTATAATGGCATATATAGTACATTTTTGTTTTTAGCCTTCATTAGATGGGTATTAAGAGAATGTTTCTTAATGACGATATTTTGAGACAATCTATTTGGTGCAACCAGAAAACTTTGTTTGATGGTTTGCAAATTAAAGAATTTCATCTATGAGCTTAAATAAGTTCCCTTTTAGTAATTCAAGTTTCATTAAGTTTTCATCTCATTTAGTTCTGAAGTAAATCTTGTGATGATTAGAGACATTACAGTTTCAGTGGGAGTTTAAGGCGGTAATTAATAAAAAATTATATTTAGATATTTAGTAGCAGCTATATAGTTTCGCGGGATTATTAAGACATTAAAGACTACACGCTCACATATCGGAGTTCGATCCAGTTAGAGATCATTCAGTATCCCGACTTCGATTCTGTTTAGTTGTCTATATTGTCATACGGCTGCAAATACAGTATGGTCTTAAAAGACTACTTAAGTTATAATGTGACAATAACTCAACAATTTAAATACTCTAATAACAATGAAGATTAA